AGTCTCTAGTATATTGTTACAGGGAAACCCTGTTTAGAATTCACTAATTGGGAATTTGTGATAATTTGAGGAAGGGCTGGCTGAAGTTAACCTTTGTACTATCTATGGAAAAAAAAGAGAGAGTTCACTAAAGTTTCGAATAGTATAAACAAGATTGGAAGGGGAATAATTATCTACTTAAAAGAACCAGTTGTTTTGAAAAGCTTTAGAAGTATCCTTTTACATACAAACAGGGTAATTATGATTTAAACAAAGGCTGGCCTATTTCTAAGGCTTCTTTGAAATGTCAATTACAAATTACTCTTGTCTATTCACCAAGACTAAACCCACCCCTGTGTACCAGGCAACAGTTGGTTAGCTTGCTTCCACTTACTCTACTTAGAAATAATAAACCGTAAATTCTTTTAAAGTAATAGAATTTAATTCAGGCTTTTCACTAATCTAGACAGTTGGTCCGTCCTATATTGTGGCTGAAGATTTACTAATTACTAGCACACAACAATCAGGAATGCATGGAGTGACAACTGCCTTCACTCACTCAGTGGAATAGTTGGTTAATACCCCAAATCTACAAAGAAAACTCCAGACCACTGGCTTTTTGCTTTTTTCTTTTATTTTTTTAATCTTACCATAGTAAGAAGCACATTTCGCACTGCAACTGAGTACACACATACACTGAAACAAAAACAATACTTACCCTTATTATGTGCAATACTCTGTTATTTTCTACTTATTTTCTAATCAATGCTAGTCGCAACCTACTAAGTTGATTTCACAATCTATTAATGGGTCCTGTTTTGAAAACACTATTCTAGAATCTGTTGGGAGACAGTGTTCCTTCACGGGAGGAAGGGGTGGCTGTGGGGAAGAGTTGTGGTTGTGGTCCGGCTTTCTTAGTGTCCTCTTCCTGTTCTCCGTCTCTCAAATCCTTGATCATCAGCCTCACTGCCCTCGTCACTCCTGCTCTTGTACCTTGATAATCAGTGCAAAGTACATTCTTACCCTCACCAACCCTTCTAGCTAATTTCCTATTTTCCCCCTTTTTTTCTCAGAAGACCGCCCTGACTTTCTGCCTGCTCTCCCCGTAAGCTGGCCGGGCTCGCCCGCTCAGAGGAGGCTGCCTCCTGTGGCACAGCCTCTCCGCCCAGCGGTGTGAGCCGTCTCCAGCTTCATTTGACTGTCTGCTCCCGCCTCTGCTCAGGCTCTGACTCTGCTCCATTTTCCACTAACAGGCCTCTGTCCACTGTGGACTCCGTTTGGTCTTGGGTATTGTTCTCCCAAGTTCTTATCTAATCGCTCTCCTTTAAGAACATAGATAATGTATTATCATCATGGTAGAAACAAAATCTTTGTGGTCAGACAACACCTAGCTCCCCCACAGTCACCAGCTCTATGACCTTGGGGATATCATTTAATCTTCCTAAACTTCCATTTCATTATCCATAAAATTGGGAAAATATCTAGTCTCCAGGCTTGCAAAGGAGAAATAACCCTTATAAAATGCTTACCTCAGTGCCTGACTTATGATGAACACTCTCTAAATGTTACTATTATCAGTACTGTTGTTGTTGCTGTTATTTAGATTATACCTACCAGCTCATCTCTCCTCCCACCAAAACCACTCCACCACCCAAACATCCAGGGAGGACACTGTTTCGGAGTTTGAGACCGTCTAACCCTGTAGCCAGAGTTCCCAGCTCCTCCCACCCCCTCCAAACACCTACTATGTGTACACTCTCATTCTTCGCCGCATCCATCTCAGTTGGGCCTTTTCCTGCGTCCCAGAGCCCCTTGCATGGCCATTCCTAACAAGAATCGTAATGCTTGAATGTAGGTGGATGACAATTCTGAACAGTTAGCTGCATGGAAGGCCACAAATAGGAGGCAAGCCCAAGAATTCCATGCCACCCAAACAGGTCGCAACCAGAGACACCCTGGCTTATCCCATTTAGCCAAGGAGGGACCGAAGAGGAGACATTATGCATCTCAGGGACCCCACTGTGGCAGCTCATACCAGACCCTGCATACAAGCAACATCTAACCAAGACTACAGTCCACAGCTCTGGTTTCATGAACTGTCTCCCACCCCACGGCTCCCATACCTTGCTCATTAGTCACATTCCAACATGCCTGGCTATGCTTTTGCTCCTCATCCCACCATGTACTCGTCTTACTCCTTTGATCCAGTACATCTCTTTCCTTGGCTTTGAATGTCTTCCCAGCTTTGTTTGACCTCTGTTTTGGTTTCATGTACTCACAGATTATCCTAGTAAATCCCCTCATATTTACAGCCCCTGGTTTAACTCAACCCTAATTCCTTCTTCCTATGGGCAACTATCTTCCACCCTCTAACTCTAATCTGCTCTAGCCCCATGGATAAGACCTTGAACAGTAAGAGTCTTTGATATAAATGACTCTTCAGAAAATAATGTCATTGGTTTATATTCTAAATCCACAAGCAAAACATTTGGGGCTTGTGCCCTAACTCCGTTATCTAGCAAATAGTCATTCTTTCCTGGTGAGATTATATCTGCTTAGACATCACAGCTGTGTAGGAGGTAGTGATTAACTTCCCTTAAAATCAGGATCTTCCATCTTCAGAGAATAATGGGTAAAGTCATAGTAATTAGGAGCCCAAACTCTGAAGCCAGACGACTTGGGTCTAAATCCTGCTTCTGCAATTTACTACTAATTTTGAGCTTGTGTGTGGTGGTTGGGTGTGTATGTGTGTTTTTGTTTTTTGTTTTGGTGCTATTTAGATAAACAAAGCAAGGTCTTGATCATATCAAGGTAGAAATACCATGATTATTTATTAAGTTGTAGATATTGGCCCTGGCCCTGCTTTCTCTCTTAGCTTTCCCCAGCTCCTCCCTTCTGAATTCATAAATTCCTTTGTATATTGCTCTAATTGCATTATTTTTCTGTCCTGTTGTTTGGCACTGTGCTGGGTCACAAAGATACAAAGGTAACAAATCATGGACTTTACCTTTACACACACACACACACACACACACACACACACACATTCAGTTGTGGGCAAGAGTAGGTTTACAGTTGTAAGTACACAGAGTTAATAAAGCTATTGCAATAATCATAACCTGCACTTTTTTCCATATGAACTGTAAACCTACTTTTGCGTGTGTGTGCACGTGCGCACACACACACAACACATTCATTAAAATGTTAAGGGTGCCGAGATGGAGGACTTTTCAAGGTACACAGGAGCATTAGGGAGAGCCTAGTGAGTTTGCCTGCAGGAACACAGTGGAGGAGGGTGTTGAGAAGGAAAGGAAGTCCACACGGAGAAGGTTGCTGCTTGAGCTGAACCTTGAAGTTGCCCTCCCTTTCGTTCACAGCCTCAGACCTGTGTCAGCCCTAAGGCAATATGAATAAGACAGTCTCTGCAAATAAGCTTAGAAATTGTCCCCATGTCCTAGACTCCAGTGGCCTAGTAGCAAAGGTTGGGGTTCCCACATTGCCCTCCTGGTCTCTTTGTTGTAATCAGTTAAGGAAGCTGCTATCCTCAGGGTGACTCATGAGCCCAGTGTCAGAGCTCTGTGATCTCTCTGCCGTAAAAGGCTCAGTCCTCAGTGTTCTGTTGCAGTCGTTATCATATGTAGTACTTAAGTACTCAAGTCCTCCCCTAAGACCTAAAGCCCTTCTTTGAACTTTAGCTCAGTGACCAGAGTCTCTGCTGCTTATCTTATCCAAGCCAGTCCTCTTCTCTGGGATCTGGGTTTCGTTTTATATCCCAGCTGAGGTTCTGCCATTATCTGGAGAATGATCTCCGGAATGGCCACCCGTTGCCTAGGTCTCCTGAACTCTCCACTGCTGGGGTCCCCACTTCACTGGAAAACCCATCCCTGACTAAGTCCGGGTTGCAGCTTACTTGTGGCAAAGCCCAAACTTTAAGCCAGACCCCTCTGAGCCTTCTTCTTGATCAGACCTTCGCTCTGGTGTTTATCATATCTTTGACCTGCCAACCTGAGTTTTAGCATGAATACTGCTAAGTAAGTTCAGTGAGAGTTCCCCTCGATATCTGATCACCCTTGACAAATGATCAAGTTCTTCACCCTCCATCTTTGATGGATAAGTCCTTGGCCTGCCTTCACCAAGAATCCTGTTAGGCCAGTCTAACAGGAATCTCGCTACCCTTGATGTTTCCTCCTAGCAATTTGCCTCCTAGTAATTTTCTATACACTGGCCCCCTTACCCTGCTCCTTGGCTATAAATCACTGCTTGTCCTTTCTATATTTGGAGCTGAGGTTGATCTGTCCCCGCTACTGCAATAGATTTGACCCCTATTACAATAGGCTTGAATAAAGTGTTCCTTACCATTTTAACAAGTATCGGAATAATTTTTTTCTTTAACATTTGTCATGCCCTCTGAACAGTAATCATGGACAGCCCATGGTCCAGATGACCCTTTGGGTCTGCCTTCCCTCCTTGGTCCACTCCAGGGATCAGAGATCTTATCCCAGGCTCTTGAGCTCCTCCTGCTCACCAACCTCTAGCTGACACATGTGCAGCAGTACAGCTTAAGGAGAGTCAGTTACCTGAAAACATGGACCTGGGGAATATGGGCCAATTCTATTCTAACCAACTTCACCTAATTCATTCAGTCAGATCATCATAACATATGAATAAGTGTAAATGGTTTCTGAACATAAGTATATTTTTAAAGAGCTTCCTTATTGGTGTTATAGACATAAACAAAATACATATACTCAAGGGAGAAAATATCTGTCTTGTTCTCTTTTGAATAAAAAATCATAGTTGATACAGATCTTTGATGTTCCAATGGTGCCATAAACAAATTTGCTGGCCTGTTTTTGGGCAAAGGATTATTTGAAATTTTACCCCTTGGGTTCCAAGTATTTTTGTTGTTGTTGTTAATAGAGTTTATTGTAAAAAGCCTCCTCACCTAAAGCTTTGGTGATTTTTCATGTTTTATTTATCCCTTTCATTTGGCTTCAAATGAAGCAAGGACTTGATAAAATTCAAAATTTACTGAATCTTGTGTTAATGTCAGGTACGGAATTTTCCTCTTGAGCATCTCCCATCATTGGGGCTGTTATTGAAGTGTTTTGAAGGAAATGGCGTGCCAGCCATTCATGGGTTCTCCTGGCTCTGCAGTGGAGGCAGGGCTTTTCCCTGGTTTGGTAACTTCCCACGCTCTGTTGCCTCTGAGCTATTTTTCTCTTTGTACCAGCTGGTGTTGGTTGTTCGCTTTCACTCTCCTTCCATGAGGAGACTCCCAAGTCAGATTCTTCACTGTCATACTCAGTAGTATCACTGTCAAGTTGGGCCAGGTTCACCTGGCTGAGCTGAGAATGGTGCCTACATTTTCTTCGTTCAAAATAGTCATTGACCAAAGCCACTTCTGAGTCAGTTATAGGACTCAGTTGACTCTGCTTTGGTTTTTTCATCACTTGTGCAGAGTCCCAGCCACCATCTTTGTTTTGCCACTTATAGGAAGTATCTTGGCTTGCTAACAATAAATGAAACAAATCAGCAAGTTAGGCACACTGTTGGTTATTGTAACTTCCCTTTACCTAAGAGGTCTATGGCATGTGCAGACTCACTTTTAGTTGTCATTTGCCCAGCCTCTACTTTTCTCTACTTCTTTGCAAGTGTTGGCAGCTGACTGCATTTTCCCGTACCATACCAAATCTCCCCAGTACCAAATGGATACTTGACATATACTGTTGGAGTTTCATGAACCCTGATAGAAGATCAAGGGAAAAGTCTCTAAACTTTTCCAGAGAAGGACCCTTTTTCTCCTTTGCTTTGAAGTCTGAATGGTTCAGGTGTGTACACAAATGTGATTTGGGTAGCAGGGAACTAATAAGAATCTTTTCTTTACACAGTGGTGTGCTAGAGTTGGATTGCATCAGCCGGCTCACAAGAACTTGATAGTTAAGCTTTCAGGAATTTTGTGAGATAGCTTAACACGGCCCCTAGTAGAAATTAAACTCTCCAAATTTATCATTAAATCAATGTATTTACAAATAAACATAATACTCAATACATCACTCCCTAATTGTTTTATTACATTTTATTATGATGCGTGTGCTCTTGAGGCTATTTGTCTGTTGTATCTGGACTTTGGAAATACCATATAATGATGTGCTGCTATGCATCTCTTCCCAGCTCCCTGTTCAATGACATCATGCTGGTAATTTGAAACCAGTTTGGGTGGCCTAAAAATCAGCAAGCACTGGAAGTCAGGTGTTGGTTTATGGTTTTGTTGGTTGTCTAGGTTTAAAGTGATGGGGAACATGATACTACATAGATTACATTTAAAAGTGTCGTGCCTACAGCCACCACTACATTGTCAATAGCACCCAAAAATGCAGAAATATTTTTCCAGAGTATTCTAAAACTATTATTCAATATGCAAAGAAGTCACTCACATCACTGACAACCAAGTTAAGTTCCAACATATATCTTCCTGTTTCTTTCATATTTCTCTTTAAGGGCAAGTGTCATTCATAATGGAACTACACTTGTTTATCAGTTGCAGACTTAGGTTGACTAGGGATACAAAGGTCTGGTAAAAATCAAGAAAGGTATTTTGTGAGAATCAGCGGTCTATATGGAATTTACCTAAAGAGTATTATATATTTTATTATTTGTAAATTGTGTGATATATGTTGTTTATATCAGTAAAAAAATATTTAAACATATACACGCTAACACCCATTTTTGGAGAGCCAGGTGTCAAACATATTCCAGCACACCACTGCTTATAAGTTACTGAAAAGGATGCTACTTACATCTCTAACTCTACAGTAACTCTAACCATAAAGGTACATAAAAGGGAAGTTGTGTGAAGGGAAAACGCTGAGGTATGAAAAGAGAACTTGAGCTTTACCTACTAGCAATGTATAGCCCCTGCTAAAGTGCTAACTTATCCTGCACCAAAGCGAGGAGCTCACCCAGTGGACCACCACAGGTCTGGGCAGGCCCTTAACACTCTTGGCTATTCACCTCTGCTTCTCGCTTTCCACACTCAGCACACAGTTCTCTCATCACAGCCCAACAGTAAATATGCACTAGCTCTCACCTTTACTTACTGAAGTGCTTGTCCCACTGTCTTCATCCTTTTTCTTCTCAGACATCTGTTTCAGAAACATAGATTAGTGATCTTACATCATCTATGCCCTCGTATTCCCAATTAATGTGTACAGGTGCAAAAGTTGGACAGTGAAGAAGGCTGACAGGAAAAAATGGATTCATTCGGAATACGGTGTTCGAGATGGGCTCTGTGGGTACCCTGGACCTCCAGCACGACGAACAAGTGGGTCCTAGAGCAAGTGGGAAGCCTGAAACATTGCTAGAGGCAAAAATGACAAAACTGAAGCTTTCCTGCTTTGGACAAATCATGAGAAGGCAGGGAAACTAGAAGGCAGCAGGAAAAGAGGAAGACCAAATATAAGATGGATTGATTCCATCAAAGAAGCCATACGCATGAGCCTACAGTTGTGGAGCAGGGCTGTTGAGAACAGGACATTGTGGACACCACTCATTTATAGTGTCACCAGGAGTCAGAGACACTCTATGGCATGTAAAACACACAATACTCATCTTCGTTGGTTGTTTTTCACTTTCGTTATGCTGCCCATTACTAGGAAGACCATGCTTAGATGGCAGAATCTACCGAAATGTTTTGAACCAAGCAAAATGGAACAAAGACTTGAGAGAAAATAAAACTGATAAGGAGCTATAGGTTACGGTTTTCCTTTACTCATATACATTATAGAGAAATAGCATTTAAAAAGAGATTTGATAGTACTATGATTAGCTTTTAAAATGACTTTTTACAGTACATTTTATCAGGTCATTGTTGTCAATAATTCTTTCAGATCTTTACCTGAATTAATAGACTTTATATCTCCTAAATCCTTTAGAAAATTTCCTTCAAAATGCAACCATAATATATTATCTGTGAATATGGCAACCAAAATACACTGATTTCTCTGAATAGTTCCAATTTCAAATATTCTGCCCAATTCTGCATAAATATAGTTGTCCCATATTTTAGATCAGTGTCCCACTTTTTGATGCTGAAAATTGTTTTGTCAAATAATACAAATATAAAGCACCTCCTTGAGAATGTATCAAAAAGTAGAAATACTCGTAACAATTTTGACACATAACAATTCTTCTGGGAATGTATCCCCAGGAAATAAGCCCCAAAAGAGAGAAAGCTTTGCATACAGTGTATGCAAATATTCACCACAGTGTAATTTAGATCATATAAAATACAAAATTCAAAAATAGGTAATGGTTAAATAAATTATGGTATAATCATATAAAATATAGTTGTAAAAATTATTATAATAAAAGTATGTCAGAACATGAGCAAATGTTATAATAATACATTAAAAATCAGCAAATTTGTATATGCAGCGTGACCTCAAGTTAGCTAAAAATATGATAAGGAAGATTTAAGAGATTACAGAAGTGTTAGCAATGGTTGACGTTGAGTGGTGAAAGCATTTTTTTCCTTCTAATTTTTCAAATTGTCTAAAATGAGGAGAAAATGGATTTATGTAGAAAATCAAACTTTCTTTGGTTGCCATACTGGGATATTCACAGCTGCGATCTAAGATCCTTGGTCCATTCCTGTCCTAATATCTAATCACTACGATAGGCAGGTATCTCTAATGAGATAGCTCTTTGTTTTCTGGGTTGTTGCAACCATTCTCTGAAAGCCTTAAGAAGGAATCCTCTTTTAAGATACCTCTTTTTTACAAATGGTTTTTGGGGAGCTTATTTTAAATTTAATATGCATAGAGATGATTATGAAAAGATTAGATGTTTATAGACCTAAAAGTCAATAATAGTTGGTCATTTCTATGTAATCTGGAGTGGGGCTGTGTGTGTGTGTGTTTTTTTTTTTCATTTTTTCTACTTACGAATTCCACATTTTCTTTTTTAAATATATTTTGGAGGTGGGTTTTTTTGTTTGTTTGTTTTGTTTTTAATTTTAGAGAGGGGAAGGGAGATAGAAAGAGAGGGAGAGAAACATCTATGCAAGAGAGAAACATCGACTGGTTGTCCAGGCTTGTTCCCTGACTGGGAATCAAACATGTGACTTTCAGTTTGCAGGATGATGCCCAACAAATTGAGCACACCACCCAGGGCTCCACGTTTTGTGCATGCTTTTGTAATGGAGGGGCAAAAATGTTTAAAACACTTATTTGGTTTATATCATTTTCACAGAAAGCGTCCATTTTTGACTTGATGTCAAATCAAAATATAATAAAAAAATCAAAAGAAAGATTTTTGCCCTGACTGGTATGGCTCAGTGGGTTGGGCATCATCTCACAAACTTAAAGTTCCCTGGTTCAATTCCCGGTCAGGGCACATGCCTGGGTTGCAGTCCAGGTCCCTGGTTGGGGTATGTAAGAGGCAACTGATTGATGTTTCTCTTGCACATTGATGTTTCTCTCCCCCTCTTTCTCCCTCCATTTCCTTTCTTTCTAAAAATGAATAAAATCATTTTTTAAAAAAAGATTTTGGATCAAGTTAAGAGGTATCTACAAACTGTAGTCACTAAAAGCAATTTGTTAACTATCTCTGTGACTGAGTGAAAAGAGCAGCAGTCTATCTGCTCTGGGGGTAGGGTGAACAATGGACAGATCTGGGCTTTGCTCTGCCTTTCTGCCACTAACCAACTCTGCTACTTAAACACCTCCTAAGCTCCATTTCTACATATGCAAAATGAGGAGCTTGGACAGGTATTTGGGAAAATGCCAGCACTGGCAGTCTGAACAAACACAAACCAAACATAAAACTAAAGATAGTATACGTAGTCTCTGAAAGCAAAAGGTAAATGCATCTTAAAAAGTGTTAAATCCAGAGGAAATCGGTGTGCTTCGTGTTTGAGGATAATTACCACCACACTTCCATCACATTTTTACCATTACTTCAAGGTTTGTAAATTAAGGCTCATAGTTTAGCAGAAAAAAAAAAGAAGTTCTAAGTGAAGGAAAAATTCCTTCCTCCTTGACCAGTCCTCATCTGGTTCTCAGATTTCAAATCTGGGACCCTTCAGAAGAAGCAGTTCAGCCGATTTTAGCTGCCATAAGGGAGCAAAGTGAAAGATGAAACCTCTAAGATAATTAAGGATTTAATCAGCACTAAATAGATTTAATTCAACATTTCAACCATGCTTTGAAGCAAACAAATGATGTGGCAGGAAACTTGGGTCTACTGCCCCCTCCATCACTAACCACTTGTGTGAGGTTGGACAACTCACTTAATTTCTTTGGGCCTTATCAATTTAAAAAAGGAAAGATACTCTTATCTCACTTGCTTACAAACAGGAGATTGCACCATATGCAATCTTGAGGTCCTTGAAGTTTGGGTCTCTATGACTCCAAGGAGCTGACGCAAGCAAGGGAGCAGAAGAGCTTATGCCTCTTAAGTGGTCTTCATGATGAAATTGCCAGAAATCAATTGCAGTTTTTTGTAAATTTTCCAAAGTAGCTTTTCTTGCCAGACCAGACAAATTCAATATACTTAGCTAGGGAGTCAAAGATGCGTATATGTTATCGCTTCTAAATCTCCTTTTGGCAAAGTATCTACCGTATGAAGCATTTAGACCTTAGACGAAACTTCTTAGGGGGAAGAGGTGGTGAGGGGAAGAGTCTTTGATTATTATAATGGAATCCAGCTGGCATAGACATAACAAATCTCCTCCTCTCCATCTAGAGCTGATATAGCATTCAGTGTAGCTAACCACGGCCAGCCCAGCAATCTGGCTGTATTGCTAAATGATGGTGGTTTGATTAATCATCAACCTGGTATTAATGGCCAGCAATGAGTCCATGTCAGCAACTTACCAGAGCTTGGTTACTTGTTATATGTTGAAGCATAACAGTCCTGATAAAGTGGGCTATCTCATTCCTAAGAGGATGCTATTTTCTTCTGCTAGTATGTGGCCTAGAGTGGTGACTTTAGTTCTGTTTAGTTTAGTTTTACAGTTCCTTTAACAGTTTTACAGTTAATAGTTTACTATGCAGAGAGTGTATTGACCTATTCTAAAATCCCCAAATTGCTACAACATATATCCTTAAATACAACAACTTTTTTTTTAAAAAGCTGTGATTAGAATTGTATGGCTGCAAAAGGAATTTCCAGGTCATTAACCAGAAGAGAAGTTTATCCCAGCATTACACAGCATATGGACAAAGTGCAAACAACCTCAATACCTCAAAATTGCAGATTTGTTATGGTGCAATCACACACAAAAATCTGCAGTCACTAAAGGTGTTGCTGTGTGAACAGAATTTGAAGAACTGTTACAATATAATATTATTTTTAAAAAGTAGGATATGAAAGTACCTACCATAACATAATGCCAACCAAGTAAGATCAAAGATGGAGAGATGGAAAGATATATATTGGAATAGAGAAAAAGAAAAAAAACTAAAACAATACATTCCAAAATGTTAACAGTGATTATCTCTAAGAAATAGGATTACAGTAGTTTAAATTTTCTTCATCCTTTTCTTGAATTCTCTAGAACAAGATTGCCTTTTAAAAAGTAGTTTCATCAAAGTGATTTATTTTATGAAAAATCCCATTGTATACAGTAAAGATATTATTTAAAATGAAAAAGGATATCCTACCCAGATAGAAGCCCGAGAGAAGAACATCAAGACCAATATAATGACAAAATACCAAACGAGGAAGGTCCCTATTGCCCCACAAGAGTCATCCTGTGGGCACTCATAATCCTGGTTTGGAATGGTAAAACTTAAAGGCATGGAGGGAGGATCCACCTCCCAAAATAAGGAAAGAAGTTTTCCCATGATGCCTCTTGCTTAAAAATAAAACATGCTCAAAGGGATGAAGATGACCAGGAACTACTTCACTCTGTGTGTATGACAACTTCCTTGGCAACCTATTATGACATACACTTCAGTAACTGTGATGGGAACTAACAAACACTTCTTGAATTTCTAAATTTTTGGAAAATTTATCTAAATTACTTTTATGAAAGTTTATGGTCTTCCTCCTGTAGCTTAATATAGTATGTTCTGTCTTAATCTCCCCCGCCCCCGAAATTTGTACATACAGTAGAAGGCCCTTAAAAACATTGGTTTGAGCTGCATGGGGTCCACATATTAGGATTTTTTTCAATAAATACCTGTAGTGTTGTTGATCTGTGTTTGGGAGTCCAAGGATGCAGAGAGCAGACTGTATGCATTGATCTATGTTGTTTTATATAGGAAGATTTGAGCATCCTCAGATTTTGGTACCTGTGGCAAGGGTAGTTGAGTTTTGGTGGAATCAAAAGCTATACTTGGATTTTCTGTGCAGAGGTTGGTGCCCCGAACCCCCATGTTCTTCAATAGTCAACTATACTGTATTTTCTTTAAATACAGTATTTAATGTCTTTAAAATCTAAGCCTCTGCAGTATCCATTTTTTCCATCTCATATGATTGTAAATTAACATACACAATTCATGTGTTACAGAGTGAACTGTGTTTTCCAAAATTCTTATGTTGAAGCCCTAACCTTAAATTTGACTATAATTAGAGATAGGGCCTTTAAAGAGGTAATTAAGGTTAAATAGGTTCATAAGGATGGGGCCCTAATCCAATATGACTGGTAACCTTATAAGAAGAGGATGTGCAAGCAAGTTTAAAAAAAAAGAAAGGTCAGTTTGAGACATAAAGAGAAGGGACATCCATTGTACAAGCCAAAGGAGACAAGCCTTAGGGAAACCAATTCTGCTGGAATCTTGATCTTAGACTTGACTCAACCTCCAAAATTGAAAAAATTAATTCTGTTGTTTAAGCAACCTAGTCTGTAGTATTTTGTTAAGGCAACTCTAGCAAAACCATACATAAATCTAATTGGAGGAGAAGTGTTCCTTCTTAAGCCTTGAATAAATGCACAGTGATGTATAGATTAAGGGGAAAAAATCATCCATCTATCTTTTGTGAATTACGTCAAATGTATACAATTTCTTCTTAGGAAAGAGCCAGACATGGCGTAGGGAGGAAACTGGTATTCCTAATTTGATTGTACATAGGGCCCTTTAGCTCTGAACAATCTTCAAGTTAGTTCATCTCTCAATCTACAACTAGAGCAAAATGCCATCGCTGCTAAGGCAATCTAAAAATTATGAAAATCCCACTCTAAAAAAAATGTTAGATTTTTAAGAATACAGAATACCTTCATTTTTTTCATTAATATGTAATACCACAAGGAAGCTTCATTTTCTTCTACTTGACTTCAGGAGCATTTCAGGAAAAATTTTGGTCATTGGGACTTCCATGGTGTAACAATCCACTAGCTTATTGTGACATGCCATGATGTTTTCAATAGGGGCATGACTCTGCATCCTCAAGGGCAAGTCCTCAGGCCCTGTCCATTCTGATGCTTGTCTGCCTTAGACCTGCTTTGCCTCCCCCAGGAAGCTCCCGGGAAGTCGGAGCTGGGCCCACGGTACCTCCTGGGGCTCACCGCGCCTCACCTGCTGGCCTCCTAATGCTGCCCTCCTCTACGGAGCTCCTCCAGGCAGTAACCAGAGACTTTCACTTTGACACCCCCACATGGTTCAGTGGCACCCAGTAGGCGTTTGTATTTGTTAAATAAAACCCAACTGAACTCTATGACGAGGCTTTCCTCAGGATTTCACGTTCTTTCAAGGAAAATACAGGAAATTTAAAGTTTTTTTTGTTTTTTTTTTACCTCAAAACCACTAGCAACTTGAACAAAACACATTTTGGTGTCTCTTGTTACTATTGCACCCTCATTAAACGGAATTCTAAGAATTAACATGGCGTAAGACACGATTCTTTTTTTTTTTTAATACAGATGTGTAAGAAATGTTTTGCCATGGCTGATGGTGTCTGAACACATTACCACGTAATCTAGCCTACAAATTAGCCACTCTGCTTAATAAAATGTTTTAACAGATAACTCCATAAACGCCCTAAAAGAAGCTAAAAATAAGTTAATACATAAAAATTTAATTTAGCTTGTTATAATCATTACTTTATACTGAAGGATCAGAACCGGGCCTGAATCCGTTGCTGCTCAGCTTTCTCCCAGCACCTCAGTGCAAGCCACAAATCCGCGGCTGTTTCCCTGGTAACGCCCTCAGTCCGCGTCCTTCCCAGCTACCCTCCTCTTCTCGCGAGAAGAGATAGCCTTTTTCCGGTAAGGTAAACCTACAAGCCGGACTCTTGGGCCGCTTGGCTTCGCGCATGTGCAGTAGAGAGTGGCGCGAATCAGCAGTTTCCGGCCGAAGATCACGGTGCGTTTTCGGGGTCATTTTTGTGCTTCCTGCATGTGGAATCCACGGGAGCCTTGGGAATTCCGCGCCTGCGGACCTGCCGAGGGCTCATCCAAAGGGGGGTGTGGCTATGTGTCCCACCACCCGTAGAGTAACGGAGGAAAGAAGCAGTCGGGGTTGCTGAAGTTTGTACAGTGAAAGCCAGGGAGGGAAACTCGGACTGAGGAGTTTTGACTCCGGCTGCGTGGCGGGAAGGGTACTGCTGTGTGCTCTATGGGATACGAGTCCGTGTAACAAACAAATCTTGCACTTGTCTGCAGTAGATGAGGCCTGGCAAGACAAAGGAAATACAAATCCCGGTGTGGGCCAAAACTGAACGTACACTTCTCCCCGTTCGCCCTCATCCCTGTCACGTCCGGAGCACTCGCCCTTCTGAAACTTAAAAACAAAGCAGATCCCTGGCGTGTATCGGTCCGAATACAGACTTGCTTAACATCATAGGCACTTAATGGTTACTGCGTAAGGCTGTGGGAGAGTGTGTGGTGGCTTATGGCTTAAATTGATTTCTTCACACCTAGTTAGTTCTTCATACCACAGCTTAAAATGAAATAAAGACGTAGCTTTTGCAAAGATAATGAACTGGGGTTCACCATCTAGGATCTTTCTGCAGAGTTTTTAAAACAAGTTTCTCCCCAAACTTGGTATTTTGGGTTTCTTAAATTAGCTCTTGGGCTAGACCTTGTGACATATTCCAAAAACACAATACAGAGTAATTGCAGACATACATAACTATCCACACTTAAGCTACAAAAATAAGACTTTTTACTTACTGGAAGCATTACATTTTCTGAAGTGACCAACCACTTCTTTGTTGATTACAATAGTGCCAATAAAGTTACCATTTAGGATTCCCTCTTCCTAACATTAAAATATAAAACATTTTGGAAAAACATTTTAAAGATGAGGGAAAGTGTGTACGTTTTTTTAGTTACTGTTATAAAGGACACAAGTGTGATTTCTTAAATGGAGTAGTTTCTTCTGATTAATTCTTGTGCTTTTTGTTTTTGAGTAGATGCAAGGGGAGCCAAACTCTAGTGCTTCCCTTATTGACAGAACCATCAAGATGAGGAAAGAAACAGAAGCTAGGAAAGTGGTCTTAGCCTGGGGACTCCTAAATGTATCTGTGGCTGGAATGATATATACTGAAATGTAAGTTAATTAGGGGAAAAAAAGAGGCCAGTGGTTGGTTCCAAAGGTGTTGGTGTTTGTTTTGATTTTTGGGGTGTGTATGTGTATGTTTTTAAAAATACATTGAAAAGCCTTTCTGATTTTTTCAGGACTGGAAAATTGATTAGTTCATATTATAATGTGACTTACTGGCCCCTCTGGTATATTGGTAAGTAGTTAATTTTCACTGTGATTTAGAGTTACTATGAATGAAAAACTGCATTCAACTTAGTATCTGTGCCTTCATTCAGCAAGTGTTTGAGTGTTTACTATGTTCCAAAAACTGGGAATGAACCAGGAACGGAACAAAGTCCCTGTGCTCAGGGATGGAACATTCCAATAGAGGAGACAATCGTATTAAACAAATCTAGGTAATAATGAGTTCTATGAAAAAAAAGTTTGGGATGTTAGGTTTTTTTTGTTACTCTCCCTGAAATGCCTTCCCTACTTCTCTAATTTTTTACCTTTCAAGACCAACGAGATTTCTACAATATTGATGCCTTCCTGCTTCTGTCTGTTCTTCAGTAGTCCTTGGGTATAAATCTTCATGACTGGGAAAGGAAATTGCATTGTCTAATACACACTTTTATCTAAAGTCTGTTAATAGAGGTGATGTGGAAATGGAAGAGCAAGAGTTTTGGAATCTGCACACCTAAGTTAGACTCATGGTTCCAATAATTGGCTGTGTGCCCTTGCAAAAGTCACTTCTCTACAGCGGCTGGGTCATCTTTAAAATGGAGGTGAAAATGTTTATTGTACAAGTTTTAAGGATTAGTGGTAAAATTTTGAAACTCATTAGTGAGTTCTCCTACACATAATAGACATTCATTAAGTGGTAACTATTATAAGGAATAAGTTTTCAGTTTTGTTGTTGCTGATTTCCTAAAGTGTAAGGAGTCTTGTCTCTCCCTGTAAATGTTCCACCCCCTCTATTTTTAAAAAATTAATTGTTGGTCTCTTACAGAGCTTGCCCTTGCATCTCTCTTCAGCCTAAACGCCTTATTTGATTTTTGGAGGTATTTCAAATATACTGTGGCACCGACAAGTCTGGTTGTTAGCCCTGGACAGCAAACACTTTTAGGGTTGAAAACAGCTGGTAAGTGTTTTACATCTTTTACAAAGGTTGGGGAAAGGTTGGCAATAACTCTTTCTCAATTTAATTTTCCCTTTTCCTAGACTCAGTTGCAAGGGACTTAGGCCATCTGGTTCAGCTATATTAAGTAGGTCTACAATAAATTGTCTTAAGACCAATGGCCATTATTCCTATTTGTATAGATTAAATGGAACTAGTAATAAATAGCCTCATGAAAGTTTGTTCCATTGTTTAATTAAAATTAAAATTAAATTACTAATGCTTGCTGCATTGAAGCTAATTTTTTATTTTGAACTCTGGAAGTGGTAAAAAACTAATTTGTGTCTTTTGGTAATACTTTATATAATTTAACAACCAAGTTCTCTGTTACTTTCCCTTTTTCTGAATAAAAATACTCTGTTCATTAAATCTGTTTTCATAGAAATTTTACTTATATATACACTCACATTTTATTTATTTGCCATTTATGTATTTCTTCTAGTTGTACAGACTACTCCTCCGCATGATCTGGCAGCAACCCAGATCCCTCCCTCTCCACCTTCTTCAATTCAGGGTCAGAGTGTGTTAAGTTATAGCCCATCTCGTTCACCCAGTACCAGCCCCAAGTTCACCACCAGCTGTATAACTGGATACAGCCCTCAGCTACAAGGTCTGTCATCAGGTGGCAGTGGTTCTTATAGCCCAGGAGTGACCTACTCGCCCATCAGTGGTTATAATAAGGTAATGACTCTCTCCCCTTGGCCAATCGCATTGTTTTAGAATTGAGAAGTACCTTGACAATAGAGTGAGTCGAAACTCCTCATTTTATTGATGAGAAAACGGAGGAACAGTGGATAATGGAGTTGCCCACATTGATCATTTAAGAGCCAATAATAAACCCAGATTTCTTTACACCTAGTCAGAAGTTCTTTATACCACATCTTAAAGAAAGAGGTAGCTTTTGCAAAGATAATGAACTGGGGTTCACCATCTAGGATCTTTGTGCAAAGTTTTTAAAACAAGTTGAAACTATGATGATTTTTTATTTTAGTTTTCTTTACTCATGTTTCCCCTCTTTTTTATGTGAAATTTCTGTATATCCTTCTAGAATTTTAATGCTTTTCATCATGTTAGAGTGTCTCCTGAATTAAAAACTGAGATTGTCATGTAGTTTGAAATATAGACACACTTCATGAGATGATTAGAAATCTTTATTCCAACTCCCACTGTGCAGTGCATTTTTGTTTTAATTTGTAAGCTTGTTAGAAACAAAATTGACAAATTTGAAATTGTGACTCCTGCCTGAAGCGTAAGAATATAAGAGGGGCATTAAAAGGGAAATAGTCACATTTTCAGATGCACTCACCAGTTAGACTAACGTAACTACAGCTACTAGTTAAATGAGGAATGTCTGGAAATAAAATCCAGTCTTCCCTTACCTTTTTATATAGTCTTTCTTTGTAATGAAATTCCATACTAATGTTTACCCAATAATTTGGCAAGTAATAGAATTTAGAAAATTTTATACAAGTTAAATATTATGAGGAAATATATATATAGTGATAATTCATAACCAATAGGTAAACATGACTTTTAAAAATAGTTTTAGTTTGTTTTCATGAGAAAAATACTATATGATCATTATTAGAAAGTTAGAAAATTAAGAAAAAGATTAGTCAATTCCTATCACTCAAACCTCTGTCTGATGGCTACTTAATACTCATCTAGGGGGTATACCATAGTTTACTTCTGAATATTTATTTTCATTTATTAAAAACTTATTAATCTGTACTAAATATGTCTGTACATAAAATTCATAACATTGCTTAATTATCTTTTTTCAACTAGGTTGTAACCTCCTTGAGCACAAGGTTATGTGTTTTTATTCATCTTTGTTTTCTTAACATAGTATATGAGTTATAGATGCTGTATAAGTGTTTGTTGAATTGAACTAAGACTATGGAGAAGTTAATGAAATAATTATTTTTCCGGGAAAAAAATGCCAGAACTGACCACAAAGTAGAAAACCTGAATAAATCAAGGAAGAAAATTTAAAAACTTAATCAAATATGTCCTCAGAATACATGATGGCCCTGAAGATTTTATAAATGAAATCTTTTACATTTTTAAAAAAATAACTTTTTAAACATTTTATTATTAAAGTTTTCATATGGAAATGGAGAGACGAGTACTTTGAACCCCTGGGTATCACCCATCTTCAAAAAGTTGTCAACATTTCATTATTATATGAACAGATAATACTGATCCAATAAAACATGATAAAAGAGTAAACTGTAGAGTCAGAAAACTGGATTGAAATCCTGGTATGATCTTGAGCAAGTTACCTCTCACATCTAAAATTAGTACAGTAATACTATTTGCCTATTATTAAGAGGATGAAATAAGATCATGTATTTTAAGCATACAATATTATGTCCCTTGAGCAAGGATAAACCAATTAATGAAACAATAGCTCAACTATAACCATAGTATATAAGGATTTAATGTTCATTGAAATAAAAGAGAAATCAGTGTGGAAGAGGATTAACATTTTTATTTTCAGACAGCATTAAACAATTACAAGATTTGGTAATCCTTCATTTATTACAGCTGAACATAAATTGTGAAACCCTAGCAGAAAGAAATTTTCAGTGAACTGGACTACAGTTAAAAATATAGGTAATACCAGCCACCAGTAATTGTCTTTTTAAAGAGTTTAACTTCATAAGTATAAAGAAATGCAAATTAAAAGTACATTTTAAAAATTTTCCAGAAATTAAACATTTTAGAAGACTAATGCTGTTGGACATATACCAAAATAGGTGTGTTCTCTTCTGATAGTATAACTCAGTGCAACATTTTTTTAAATTATATTTTATTAATTAATGCCATTACAGTTGTCCCAAATTTTCCTCTTTTAACACCTTCCACCCAGCACCCCATTCCCTCAGGCAATCCCCACACCATTGTTCATGTCTAATAGGTCATGCATATAAGTTCTTTTGCTCTTCTATTTCCTAGGCTGTACTTTACATCCTCATGGATGTTCTGTAACTCTCTATTTGTACTTCTTAATCCCCTCACCTCTTCATTCATTCCCCACATCACCCTCCCATCTGGCAACCATCAAAATGTTCTCTGTACCCATGGTTCTGTCTCTGTTCTTGTTTGTTTAGTTGATTTTTAGATTCAATTGCTGATATGTATGTATTGCCATTTTATTGTTGTTAGTTTTGATCTTTTTCTTAAATAAGAACGTAACATTGAGCGTAATTTAACATTGAGCGTAATAATGGTTTGGTGACAATGAATTCCTTTAGTTTTTTCTTGTCTGGGAAATCTTTATCTGCCCTTTGATTCTAAATGATAGCTTTGATGGGTAGAGCAATCTTGACTATGGGTCCCTGCTTTTTATGACTTTGAATATTTCTTGCCAATCCCTACTAGCCTGCAAGGTTTCTTTTGAGAAATCAGCTGACAGTCTTATGGGAATCCTCTATAGGTAACTAACTTCTTTTCTCTTGCTGCTTTTAAGAGTCTCTCTTTATCTTTAACCTTTGGCATTTCAATTAAGCTGTGTCTTGGAGTAGGCCTCTTTGCATCCATCTTGTGTGGGACTTTCTGTGCTTCCTGGACCTGAATGTTTATTTCCTTCACCAAATTAGGGAAGTTTTCTTTCATTATTTTTTCAGGTAGATTTCCAATTTCTTGCTCTTTCTCTTCTGCTTCTGGCACCCCAGTGATGTAAAAGTTGGAAAACTTGAAGTTGTCCCAGAGGGTGATTACAGTATTCTCATTTTTTGGATTCTTTTTTCTTCTTGTTGTTCTGATTGGTTGTTTTTTGCTTGCTTATGTTCCAAATCATTGATTTGATTCTTGGCTTTATTCATGTATTGTTTCCCTGTAAATTGTTCTTTATTTCAATTAGTGACTCCTTCATTTCTGAATGGATCTTGTTAATGCTGTTGAGGTCCTCACTGCATTCCTTGAGCATCCTTATAACCTGTGTTTTGAACTCTGCATCTGATAGATTGCTTAGCTCCATTTTGTTTAGCTCTTTTTCTGGAGTTTTGATCTGTTCTTTCGTTTGGGCCATGTTTCTTTGTCTCCTCATTTTGGCAGCCTCCCTGTGTTTGTTTCTATGTGTTAGGTAGAGCTACTTTGACTCCGTGCCTTGGTAGTGTGTCCTAATGTAGTAGGTGTCCTGTAGGGTCCAGTGGCACAGCCTCCCCCATCACCCAAGCTGGGTATTCGAAGTGTGCCCTTCGTGTGAGCTGAATACACCCTCCTCTTGTACTTGAGCCTTGATTGTTGTTGGCAGGTCAGTGGGAGGGATTTACGCGGGCCAGTCAGCTGCAAGGACTGGCTGTGACCACTAACACCGACTTCCACCCTCTGGAGGATCAGCTGTGCAGGGGCCGGGTGGTGGTAATTCAGTGTGTCCTCTCACTGTCCGCCGGGTGTGCCAACTCTGGGGTTTCTTGTGTGGTACAGGCCAAGGTCAGCCCCCACCTGTGTCTTGCTGGGGGCCACCCTGCCTGAGCTATAAAGCAATCTGAGATGGCTGCTACTTGTGCTGGGCTTGGAGTTTCCCAGGTGAAGCCAAGCTGTGAATCTTGGCTGGATGCTGCTAGTGCCGGGCCTGGGGCCACTTGGCAAGACGTGCGGGTGCTGGGGGCTCACTGAAGCGAGCTGTTATTTGTTTAAGAGGATTTAGGAAGTTGTGAAGCATGAGCCAAGACCAGCAATTCATATGGAGAAGCAGCTTGGGGGGCCTGTAAGTTGGATGGGATGAAGCCTCCGGGGGTCTCCAGGGTGGGGCAAATAGTGTTAGCCAGGTTGATAGTCTTAGATGTGGCACCAACCTGCTGGCTCTGTCGGGGGAGGGTTTAGAAAAAGGACAATGGCCTCTGCCTACCGTTCCATCTCTGAGAACACTGCTGTCCCCCACCTCCTGCCTTGATGCCGGACACTTCAGTTCCTCCCTGTATGCCACTGGTACCTTTCAAGCTGCTTACCCTAGTGCTGGAGCTCAAAGGGAGTGAGTCTGAGTAAGTCCATGTGTGGGTTCTTTAAGAGGTTCTGCTTGGAAGTCCAGAAATTTCTTCCACCAACTCATTCCCTGCTGGTTTTTGAAGCCAGAAATTATGGGGACTTATCTTCCTGGCACTGGAACCCTGTGCTGGGGGCCTGGTGTGGGGCTGGGACTCCTTGCTCCTGAGATATCCCTCCTGAATTTTTATCCACCACGTGTGGATGTGGGACCAGCCCTTCTGTGTCTCCCACCAGTCTGGATGGATGTGGTTTCTTTAACTCCATAGTTGCCAGACTTCTATTCAACTTGATTTCTGATAGTTCTGAATGATAGCTGTTTTATATTTTAGTTGTAATTTTGATGTGGTTGTGCGAGGAGGCGAGCTATGTTTACCTATGCTTCCATCTAGACCAAAAGTCTGAACATTTTTGTTGAAAAGAATATGTATAAAAATGTTTGTATGTGTTTATCAAATTTCTGTTTTGTGAATCTTCTAAAGGAAGTCATTAAATTAAACAAAGATTAAATAAGTTAATCATAACATTTATAGTAGCCAAAAATTGTGGACAATCTAAATGTCTAAAGGAAAAAGAAATGAAGGGGTGCGTGTATTTGTGTGTGTGTGTGCGCGCGCGCGTGCGTGTGTGTGTGTGTGTGTGTGTGTATACAATGAAATACTATGTAGCTAGTAAGACTATGAAGAATTTTTATAGGAAAATGCTTGGTTAACTTTAAATAAAATGGGGATATAAAATTAAAAATTAAACAGTATTGTGTCGATTACATGAAAAAATATATTGACATAGCCATATACATTTAAAGACTTAAAAATACGTAAACTGTGAAAAGATTATATTATCTCTGGGTGGTAGAATTTTGAATGTGACTTATTTTTCTCATACTTTTCAGTTTTTTTAAAATTCATATATTACTTTTTTTTATCCTCATCCAAGGATATGTATTGATTTTAGAGACAGGAAGGGGGCTGGGGGGAGAGAGAAAGAAAAAGAAAGAAACATCAATCAGTTGCCTCTCACACGTTGCCCATACTGTTGAATCTGCAACCTTTTGGTATGCAGTATGATGCTCCAATCAACTAAGCCCCCCAGCCAAGGGTGCAAATATTACTTTTTTAAAAAATAAGCTTTCTATTTAGAACAGTTTTGGGTTCACAGCAAAATTGAGAGGCAGATACAGTGATGTCCCGTATACCCCCAGCTACCACATTGGCACAGCCTTCCCGACGGTCTACATCAGGCACCAGAGCGGTCCATTTGTTACAGTCGATGAACCTGCACTGACTCATCATTCACACCCAGAGTCCAAGGTTCACATTAGGGTCCTCTCCTGGTGGTGTACACCTATGGGTCTGCATAAGTACATAATGACGTGTCTCCACCATTAAGGTACACAGAGTATTTTTACTGCCCTAAGAATCCTCGTGCTCTGCTTGTTCATCCTTCCTCCCACCTCAACCCCTGACAACAACTGATCTTTTTACTGTGTCCATAGTTTTGCCTGTTCCAAAATATCACATAGCTGCAGTTGTACTGTATGCAGCCTTTTCAATTTGGCTTCTTTCACTTAATAATATGCATTTAGGTTTCCTTTGTTTTTTCATGGCTTCATAGCTCTTTTTTTTTAGTGCTGAATAATATGCCATTGTCCAGATGTGCCAGTTTGTCCATTCACCTGCTGAAGGACAGTAGGTTGCTTCCCAGTTTTGGCAACTCTGAGTAAAGCTGTTATAAACATCTGTGTGCAGGTTTTTGTGTGGACGTAAGTTTTCATCTCCTGTGGATAAAAATAAATACCAAGGAGCATAATTGCTAGATGATAAGAGTATCTTTAGTTTTGTAAGAAACCATCAAACAGTCTTCCAAAGTGGCTCTATCAGTTTGCATTCCCACCGACAATGAATGGGAGTTTCTGTTTTTTATCATCATCATCGGCATTTGGTGTTGTCAGTGTTCTGGATTTTATTTTTGGTATGTTATTCTTTGAAAGTCAAAAACCAAAATGAAAATAAATTTCAAAGAAATAAAATGAAGTTCTTTTATTTTGTCTAGTTGGCAAGCTATAGTTCCTCCCCTCCCTCTCCATACCCCACCACTGTTGGGCCAGCGGAGAGCAGTGGATTGAGATCTCGCTACCGTTCTTCACCCACTGTCTACAACTCCCCTACTGACAAAGAAGACTACATGACAGACCTACGAACTTTGGATACGTTTCTCAGAACTGAAGAAGAGAAACAGCATAGAGTAAAGCTGGGTATGTATATTTTTTTTAAATCTAACATATACATATATATTTGGTGTCACTTTACATTGTCCTTAATCTATTATTTTCATTACTTTGATTACCCATACATAAATGTTTGTCTCTTTTACTAATATACCTGTGTAGCTTAGGAGAGAAATACTTTTTTTTTTAATATATTTTATGCGGTCAGAGTTAAGTCCACCAAATTTAAGAAGTAAAATAAAGCTGAACTGAGAAATCTTGAATCTTTCGTCTACATTAAGATCGAAAACGTTTTCATATACTCTACAATTTCTATTTAAAATTTAAGGCTATCAAATGTTTTTGAAGTGGCACATAGCAAAGGTCATTGAAGCGATAGCTGTCTCCTTTCCCATCGTCCTCGGGAAGGTTGGTGGGGCCAGGAAGGATGAAGGACAGAGCAAGGATTTACACTACAAGTGCTGCTGTTTTTTCAAAACATTTAAACTTATCTTTCGTTTACCTTGGAAAACAGTGTTAGAAAATCTAAATGTATTTGGGGTGGATTTGATTATTACAAAGTCAATTATTTGAAACCAAATTAGGTTATTGAGCAGAGTAATGATTTTTCCCCGCAGGAACTTTCACAGAAAGCACATTAGGTGCTGAAGCACAGCCACAAAGAGGAAGCCGGTTATTGGACCATGGCTCTTCATGTCACTTTAAATCTCTCCATTGACTTTTAATAAGATTTTGCCTAGAAGTGCCACAAATGTCAAAGAAACAAATCAGTATTATCTTGTTATTTGTCAATACATGCTTTTTCTTTAAAATCTTAAAATGTTTCAAGTATACTGAAAATTATAGGGTATAATACAAAGGACAACCTATTAGCCCCTCCAGATATATTTGTTATAGCCAGAGGTTTTCTGACTTTCCTTTTTATTTCTTCTATGACATAATAGGAGTTGTTGGGAAGTATTGTTATTATTGATTAGTGTTGCTTTTAATTTTGCAAACATATGATATGAAAGGCTTGGTTATCTGTTTCCTATTCTCTAAGCTGATTGTACTGTGGCTACAGATTCTGATCTGTACCCTATTGATTTTTTGGTACTGTTTTTTCAGGCTTGCATTTTGGCCTCCTATGTGATTACTTTTTATGAATGGTTCTTGGTATGTTGAAAAGAATGCATAGTCTCAAATATTGCACTGCACCCATTTACTCATTTAGTAAGCATCTTGATGGTGTTCTTAAATTCTTTATCTTATTTATTTTGTCTGCTTGATCTATTAGTTACTAAGGAAGTGTGTTTAAAAAAAAAAACTCCTAGTGATTTTCTCCCATTAAATGTCTCTTTATAATTCTGTCAAAATTTGCTAATTATCTATGAGATTATGTTAAGTACATGTAAGTTCAGAATTGTTAATATCATTCTGGTCAGTTATTCCTTTTATGTTTTAGGCTTTTTGCCTTCAAGAGTATTTAGTTTGACATTAACACAGCTGCATTCTTTTCATTTGGTTAGCATTTGCTGAGTACATCTATGTTTATCCCTGTACTTTTAACCCTTCTGTGCACATAGGTTTTAGATAAGTAAGAATTTTGTACAAATTAATTTGTAAATAATAAGTATTTTGTGGGGAACTACTTTGAGAATATATAAATATCCTCTTCCTCATCAAATTTTTTAAAAATTTTTATTGTATTTTTTCATTACCATTTAATCCCTTCCCCCTACTCTTACACACTGTTGTCCACATCTGAGTCTTTTTTCCTTTTTGCTCGATCCCTTTACCCCCTCAACCTGTCCCCACACTCAGTAGCTGCCATCCTGCCCTCCATCTGTGAGTCTGTCTCTATTTTGCTTAAGTTTGTTCGTTAGATTCCACATATAAGTGAAATCATATGATGTTTGTCTTTTTCTGACTGGCTTATAATACTTATGTTCATTTATTTCATAATGTTCTCCAGGTCCATGCATGCTGTCACAAAACGTAAAATTTTCTTCTTTTTACAGTGGCGTAGTATTCCATTATGTAAATGTCCCATACTTTTATCCACTCATCTGTTGATGAACACTTGAGCTGCTTACATATTTTGGCGGTTGTAAATAATGCTACAGTGAACATAGGGGTGCTTACGTCCTTTCAAATTAGTGTTTTGGTTTCTTAGATCTATTCCCAGGAGTGGGATTGCTGGGTCAAAAGGCAGGTCCATTTTTAATTTTCTGAAGCATATCGTACTGCTTTCCGCAGTGGTTGCACCAGTGCGCATTCCCCGCAGCAGTACAAAAGGGTTTCCTTTTCTCCACATCCTCACCAGCATTTGTTTGTTGATTTATTGATGGTGGCCATTCTGACAGGTGTGAGGTAATATCTCATTGTGGTTTTAATTTGCGTTTCTCTGATGATTAGTCATGTTGAGCATCTTTTCATATGTCAAAGGCCATCTCTATAGAGGCATTCTCTTTGGAGCAGTATCTATTCAGATCCTTTGACCAATTTTTTTTTTTAATATTTTATTTATTTTTTAGAGAGAAGGGAAGGGAGGGAGAAAGAGAAACATCGATGTGCAAGAGAAACATCAAACGGTTGCCTCTCACAAGCCCCCGAGCTGGGGACCTAGCCCACAACCCAGGCATGTGCCCTGATTGGGAACCAAACCAGTGACCGTTTGAGGCCAGCACTCAATCTATTGAGCCACACCAGCCAGGGCTGCCCATTTTTTATTTGGATTCTTTGGGGGTTTTTTTGGTCTTGAGTTTTGTAAGTACTTTATAAATTTTGGATATTAACCCCCTATCAGATGTATCAGTGAGTATGTTCTCCCGTTCTGTGGGTTGTCTTTTCATTTTGTTGATGGTCTCCTTTGCTGTGCAAAAACTTTTTACTTTGCTGTAGTCCCATATGTATATTTTCTCTTTTGTTTCCCTTCCCTGGGAAGATATGTCAGATAAAATATTGCTACGGGCAATGTCTAGGATTTTACTGCCTATGTTCTAGGGTTTTTATGGTTTCCGGTCTTATATGTAAATCTTTAATCCATTTTGAATTTATTCTTGTGTGTGGTGTAAGAAGGTGGTGTAGTTTCATTTTTCTGCATGTATCTGTCCAATTTTCTCAACACCATTTATTGAATAAACTATCATCTTTAGCCCATTGTATTTGCTTGCTTACTCTGTTGAATGTTAATTGACAGTAAAGGTGTGTGTTTATTTCTGGGCTCTTTGTTCTGTTCCCTTGATCTATGTGTCTGTTTTTATGCCAGTACCATCCTTTTTTGATTACTATGGCCTTGTAGTATATTTTGATATCCTCATCAAATTTTGACTTTTTAGTTTTAACATCCTTCTGAGATATTTTCAAAATTAATTATTACTATGTTGGTTGTCATAGTGGCTTTCTAATTCTGTCATTCTTTCAATATTTTTGCCTTTTATGTGTAAACTTTTGTGGTAAATTATATATAATATTTATCATTTTAACCATTTTTTATTGAGTTCATTGGGGTGACATTGGTTAATAAAATTATATAGGTTTCAGGTGTACAGTTCTATAGCACATCAACTATATATTGTATTGTGTGTTCACCCACTTCAAGTCTTTTTCCACCACCACATTTAAACCATTTTAAGTGTATAATTCATTGATATTAACTACATTCATAATGTTGTGCAGTCACCTTTCATATTTATTTATTGGAATTCTACTGTTAAATGGATCTTTTCCCTCTCAGCTATGTCATTTATTTGGATAGTTAGATTGTGTCAGATTTGGCTGGTTGGACAAATCTGGCTTCTGCATTTTTTAGATATGACACTATCATTGAGCACTTAAAAAAAAAAACTTTACAGCATCACAAGATATTTAAAGCTCCTTTTGTATTTCCCCTGGCTAACTAGCTCTGGAGTCAGTCTGTTTCTCTGTTTCTTTAAGGGGCCACATTTGCTTTTCGTGGAGAATGATATTTAGAAATTAATGTCTAGGCATTGGATATGCCATGTTAATGGGGTATCATTACTGTAGGTCCTTTCAGCAGACAGCTAGGAAATATATGTAAACACATACATGCACGCTCACACTTCTGTATGTATTTCTACATCCAGCTTTTTCTCTTTTTTTAATTTGTTGATTTTTAAAGAGAAAGTGAGAAACATCCATTTGTTGTTCCACTTATTTATGCAGTCTTTGGTTGATTCTTATATGTGCCCTGACCAAGGATCAAACCTACCATGTAGGCATGTGCCCTGACTAGGAATGGTCAAATTAAATACTTCAAGAGTATTTATACTCTTACTGCAACCCTTCCATCTGTGGGATGACACTCCAACCAACTGAGCCACACCAGCCAAGGCTACACAGATTTTTGACTTCATGGATGGGTCAGTGCCCCTAACCACCCCTCCCCTTGGTTCAAGGGTCAACTGTATATTAAAAACCCTGAGTTTGTAGTGATACCTCCAATTCCAATCCAGCTATACTGGGTTAATTCTAGCCTCTCCAACCTTTCCATATTTGTAATTTCTTTCTCCAGTAGTGAGAAGCCAGACATTCATGTACTCTTTCTCACACACCTACTTTTTTTGCTAAAGATCCACTTTCATCCCGAAATATTTCACATGCATCTCCTAAGAACATTTTCTTTTTTACCTACAACATGATTACCGTACTTAGGACTACCATTATTCTTATTCACATTTCCTACAGTTGACGCAATAATGAACTTTGTAGCTTTTTTCCCCTTTAACTGATGTGGGATCTAGTTAAGTTTCACATACTGCATTTAGTTGTCATGTTTCTTTCATCTTCGGGGGTGTCCAACCTGAATACAACCTAACGCATAATCGTAAGTTTACTTAAAACATGAGATTTTTTTTTAAATACGTGTCTCAGTGTATTTAATGTGTGGCCCAGAACAACTCTTCTTTTACTGTGGCCCAGAGATGCCAAAAGGTTGGACACCCCTGATAGAACATTTATGGGTCTGCATTTGTTTGTGCATTTTCAGGATGTCAGGCCAGTTGTATTGCACATTTGGATATATGTGATCGTTTTCTCATTATCGGATTCAGTTTAAATATTATTCTTGACCAATAAACAACTTAGGTGGTGGCGTGTTCCTTTCAGTGTATCACATCAAGAGACACATGATACATTTTGTTCCTTTGTTGGTAATGTTAAATTGGATCACTAGGCTAAGGTGATGGCAACCTGATTTCTCCATAATAGCTTTTTCCTTTTGTAATTAATTAATAATCTGTCATGTCATTCTTTGAGACTTGTGAATATGCCGTTCCCCCAACAGCCTTTCACCCGGTGGTTCTGGTTAGCATCCACTGATGGTCCTTTCCAAATAAGTTAGTTAACCCAGTAATGGTTCCAAAATGGAGACTTTTTAATACTTTCATTTCTTCTACATTTAAGTAGTTCAGGATTCTTTTGTAAAGAACTTTCTATTTACCCCTCACCCCACAGTTTGTTTGCTTTAGTCAGTTTGTACTGATGGTTGGTTCTTTCTTTAGCTATGTCTAAACAGCTATTTAATTAACTCATTTAGTTTTTTAATTTGTATTTAATTGTATTATTTGGTTCTCTTTCAAATCTGCCTGATTTCTTTTAGAGTATCTTTTGTATTCAATTTCTCTTCCTATCGTAATCACTTTAAACATATTTTTAAAAACCTCTGTCCCATAGTTCAATTATCTGAAGTTCTTGGAGATGAAATACATATTTTTTGTCTTGTTGACTCATGCTTTGAGGCTTGTTTCCTTGTGACTTATCCATTTCTTGTTTGTTTGTGTTTGTAGCTTCATCTTCAGTAGAATGTCATCTGTGCTTTTTCCTTCCTGGGCAGGCTGGAGGGAAGCCCTGTTCCTCCTAGAAGTTTTGAATATGCCTCTGCCAGGTCCCTAAGGAGTATCATTGACTTTGAACTAACTTAAGTCTAGGCCTGAAGGTTTAATCAGTCTCCCAACAACCTAAGACACACACGCACATGCTCACTCACTCACTCACTCACTCACTCTTCGTCGTCATCTCCTGGTGCCAGTGGTCAGACTATTTTCTTATCCGCTGAGGATGTGGGCCGGTTGGGTTTCTGTCCTAATGCCAGGTGCAAGGGGTGGAGGTAGGAGGAAGGCCTCAGTCCAACTCTCTCTCTCCCCCAGGCCTGCATCTTCGTTTCCAGTTCCCACTTGGCCACTGAAATCCAAGCCAGTAGGTTTCCCAAAGCCTGCAAAATTCTCCAGAGCAGCCATAATATCCTCTTACACACAGGCCACTCTGATTTTTAATTCCCTCTTCATTTCTAGCCACCAGCTATTCCTCTTAACTTTCTGCAAGCTCCCTTATCTATTGAAACAAGGTGTTTTATTTTAATAAACATTTGTAGATATAGTGGGAACGTTTCAGGTTACCTGGTTGGTTATGTTGTGAGAATTCAAAATGTCTTAGTGCTTTGATGCGTAGGTCTTCAGGGCTCTCCAGCTGCAGATTTCGTGCTGTTTTGTCGTGGAAGGTGGCCATTACAGAGAGGCCATATTTTGTCACTGCTTGCTGTGTATGTTTTGCTTATCCTTTGGCTAATGCACAACAGATAGTAAAAACTTTATTTCTGTCATTTTATATCTAAAATCTGTGTAAAACTTTTGTCATGTAAAGCCAGTTTTTACTGAAATTTTTCTCAAGTTCAAGTTTTCTCTCAGAAAGCTCATTATTTTTGAAGTTAATAGTCAAAATGATTAATCAAAAGAGAATAACTTTGTGTTCTTTTACCTTCCTTTTTATTTCCTGTTCATTAACTCATTTGTGTTGGTTTAAAACTTACTTCTTGATAGTAATTCATTCCTGTAAGTCAGTTTTGCCAGAAGTCCTATTTGAACATTTAACTTTACACCATGTGGTATTTCTTTATATACAGAATTATTTATTTTTATGCCAGCATGAAACACACTAGTATTCACCTAAGCTGCTAGCACAGGACTGGCTGGCCTTCAAGGTTTTGAGGCTGTGAATTGAAAAGTCACATATCCCCCTCATGGTTTCTCGTCCTCTGTGCCTGTAAATAAACAACATAAGAAAAGCAGTTTTATTATTTTATAGTCACTCCTATTAAGTATTCTGCTAAGACTTTTTTGAACACTTGTTTCTGTTTGTGATTTTTGTGTGTATGAAGTATCAGTTGGTATTTTTTGTTACTGTAATGCTTTAATGTAATCAGTATTTTTTAATATTTGTTAAACTCTAAAAAAAAAATAAGCCCTTCATAAGTATCAAGTAATTGTCTTTGAAAACTTGCTGTTTATTCAAATACTGTGCAAGGTATTAGGGGAAAATACTCCCAGCCCTCAAGAAAAAGAGATAAACTCTGACTTTAAAATGTGATACTGTATTTCATCGCATATAATGTGCTCCCATGTATAATGCGCAAGCATGTTTTTGGCCCAAACTTTCAAGGGAGAAAAAATCTTCTGTTTTACTTTTTCAATTCAATCAATCAATCAATCAGTTATTTATTTATTTATTTATATTTAGAGACAAAACCTATTCTCATACTCCAGGGTATTATGTTGCACACAGATGTCGTTATTGCTTTCTAGAGTTACACTTTTAACACATAAGCATAAATAAAAGAAAAGCATTTCTATAGATATGGAATTAGTGCTATTCATGTATAATGCGCATCCTTATTTTCCCCTCAAAAATTGGGGCAAAAAAGTGTGCATTACACACAGCAAAACACAGTAATTTGTCTGGTAATTATAGGATTAAGTCCCTAAATGTAACTGCCTACATTTCCTAAAAGTAAGTTCAGAAGCGTGATCAGCAGAGTCTGTTAATGCAACACCGGACTTACTACACGATATGAATAGAAGAGAATACAGTGCAGGAAGAGTGAGTTTAGTTGCTAGCCCAAAGAGTAGTTTATTAATCGGATGTGTTAGTTATCCAATTCAGAAAGAACTTTCAAAAGTTCAAGCAAGGAGCTTCTTAGCCTACTTATTTCCTAAAGAAATTTGTTGTTTTTCTTTTTTCATTTGTCGTTGAATCATTTGAAAGTCTTATAGAATGAAAGACTTAATTTTATAACAAAAATAAACACTTTCAACCACTTACGGCTCTTAAATTAATGTTGTTCAGAAATATCCCTGTTAACTTTTAGCACAAGTAGTCCATGTTCTCAAAAGGAAAGATAATGCCAGGGAGAAGAAAAGAGAAACAAGCTCTTTCGAGCTTTGTCTTCCTTGGTTGCCATTGCTTCTGTGCTTAGATAGCCCTTGTTCACGTACTAACTCTGGATGCCAGAATCACTACAACACGCTGATGCTCTGAATTAATCATTGCAGGCAGCCCAGATTCGACCTCACCTTCCACCAGTCCTACTTTCTGGAACTACAGTCGTTCTATGGGGGATTATGCGCAAACTCTAAAGAAGTTTCAGTATCAGCTTGCCTGTAGGTCTCAAGCCCCATGTGCGAACAAAGATGAAGCGGATCTCAGTTCTAAACAAGCTGCAGAGGAGGTAAATGGAAAATAAAAATGACAATATTTATGATTTACAGATTATTAGAAAGTCTTTTTTACTTCTGGAATATTTTCTTTTTCTGTAACCTCCACTTTTATTGGCTGGGAACATAAATCTGGCACACACTAAACAATGGAAAGGCTCCTGTCTAACTTTGTGTACCTAAAACTGAATTATACTGTATGTTTTACTCTTTATGACATGTAGTTGACATTAGTGTCCTGCCTAAAACATTTTTTTTGCATTCATTTATAAAATGGCATCTTAAGTAACATTTTGTACTTAACATACACAAGATGCTTGCTTTTAAAATATATTTAGGCCCTGGCTGAGTGGCTCAGTTCGTTAGAATGTCATCCTGTATACCAAAAAGGTCGCTGGTTCTATCCCTGGTCAGGGCACAAATGGGAAGCAACAGATTGATGTTTCTCTCTCTGCCTCCCTTCATTTCTCTAAAATCAATAAATATATCCTTGGACGAGGATTTTATACACACACACACACACACAAAGATAGATAGATAGGTAGCTAGGTAGATAAGAACATTTGATAGTCTGTAACTTTATCAGTGTAATACCAAATAAAGGGTTTTTATTTTCTTCTTAAAAGCAAGAAGAATATTTATTAAACATACCAACATAAGGAATTTTAAAGGTGTCTACATGAATAGCAGTAAGTGCATAAGAAAATTACTGCATATTAAATCATTATTGATGTTTGTGAAAAAAATTTTTTCAAAGTATTCCAAATATTTTTGAGGTTGGGGGAAAGAATGACTGATTTCTGGCAAGATTTTTCCCTCACTGATTGTTCATTTTAAACATTTTAAATAGGTTTGGGCAAGAGTGACTATGAATAGACAACTCCTTGATCATATGGATTCATGGACAGCTAAGTTCAGAAATGTAAGTTTGACATTACACTTTGTACAGTATTAGTGTCTCTTAATATAAAAGTATGTTATTAGAATACCAATTAGAGATGTTAGTTGTTAATTAGGTAGCAGAATTATTAGAAGTGCAATATGGATGGCACGTGACATTTACCTCAGCGTCCATTTTTTCATCCCTTTTCCAGCCTCTCAATTTTATTTTTCAAAGAGCTTTTCTGTCAGAGCCTATTGTGTGTCTAGAAAAGTAAGGAAAACAAAAGTGAGGTCCTTGTCCTCAGAAAACTTCAGTTAGAGAAGATAATATGTGCATGAAACTATGTCAAACTATATTAATCTCTTCAACTTTGCTAAAAAAGCACCCTCTCTATCTTTAGCCTGGAGATTGGGAAGGCCAGTTCCCCCTGCACAGAGCAAGGTAGTTGCCTTGTTTCAGACCCGCCTCTGGTTCTCTCCCTCTGTAGTACCTGCACTTCACAGGTTCTGCTGGCAAGTTGGCCCCTCCTCCATTCCACCTGCGTCCACTTGGATTCTGTAGAGGCCACCGTTTCTTCCCCCGTTGCATCTTGCAACATTCATTCACTAGCTCTGCATCTTCTAGAAATAAGTTGAAATCACTTGTATTCCTTTTTCATTCTTTTATTATAATTCAATAGAGTATCAAGAGGGAGTAGTGAAAAACAGCTGCCTACTTTCTTGAACCAGAAGCCTGGATGGCTTTTAGAAATAAATACTGTTGCCTTGGACAAGTGGCTCTGTTGGTTGGACCATCATTCCATACACCAAAAGGTTGCAGGTTCGACCCCCAGTCAGGGCACATACCTAGGTTTCAGATTCAGTCCCATGTCGGGGCGCATATGGAAGCAAAGGATTGATGTTTCTCTCTCACACTGATGTCTCTCACTCTCTCTCTCTTTTTTTCTCTCTTTGTTCCTCTCTCTCTAAAAACCAATGAACATGTCCTTGGGTGAGAATTTTAAAAAACTGTGTTACTAATTACAAACCAATATAAACACTACATGAATTAATATATGAATAATTACCCTGGAAGTATAAACTGAAGTTTATCCTTTTATCTTAAGTATAATAAGCACAGAAAGAAACATTTAAGAAAAACTTAACACATACCTGAAAGTTTTATATTTCCTAAAAAAAAACAAAGCAGGCATATGTGATTTAAGAATAAACTCCAATGAAATGTTTACTTAGCTCTCGCTAGACTTCACGTAGCTCCTACTTCCATTCTCTTACACTTTGTTACTATAAGTACACAATAGTAAAAAAGTCTTGGAGTCCTATGAATAACTATTTGAGAAATGTTTTGGAATTATGTATGTAAAATCTTTACCTCATTGTTCCCTAGTGGATCAATGAGACGATACTGGTGCCACTTGTACAAGAGATTGAGTCTGTCAGCACCCAGATGAGACGCATGGGTTGTCCAGAGCTGCAAATAGGAGGTAAGTGAAAACAGAGCCCAGCATTTGGTTTACCTTAACAAATCTGCCTCGTGGAAAATTTCTGTAGCTTTTGGGCTATTTAACAACTTCTTGTTATCTTGAGGTGAAGAAAAAATTAAATTGTTTTTATAATATAGTTTTATTGAAATATAATTTACTTAGCATACAGTTTACCCATTTAAAGTCTACAATTAAAAGGTTTGAGTTGTACAACAATTATCATAACCAGTCTTAGACTGTTTCAGCATTTCAAAAAGAAACCCTTCACACCCTCTAGCAGCCACCCCAGGGCTCCCGCCACCGCCCGTTCCCCAGCCCTAGGCAACCACCGGCCTACTCTCTGTCTCTGTAGATAGGCCTCTCTTGGATATATCATGTAAATGGCATCATGCAATATGTTGGCCTTTGTGACTGGCTTCTTTCACTTACTATAATGATGTTCTCAAGTTTCATCCACGTAGCATGTGTCAGTTCCAGCATGATATGCTTTTTAAAAAAAGAACATTATAACTGCGAAAGCAATATAGGTATGTTCAAGTAGAAAATTTAAAAAGTACAGAAGTACTCAAAGAAGAATATTACCCATAATTCTGCTTCCAGAAATAACTACTATCAATTTAGTGAAAACCAGTTAATAATTTTAAAGAAAATACTGTGATACTAACTATATATATCAATTGTAAGTTATCCCATAACTTAAGAACATGAAAAGTACACATTTAGGAGTTGAGGAAGTATTGTACATACATAATGTATATATGTCTAATTAAATTGGAGTCATACTGTTTTGTTACTATTTTTCCCTCCAGCTCTTTCTATTTTGTTAAGTATTCTCCAATATTATTTTTATGGCTCGGCTGTATTTCTTTTATTTTTATATCTTTTGTATATTACTTATAGATCGTCCAAAATGAATCTGGCTGCTTTTGGGGAGAGAGAGAAAGAGGGAGGAAGGGACGGAGGAAGGGAGGGAGATAGGTAGGTAATCTGGCCACCCGTTGGAAATGATAAAATAAATTGTAAATAAAGTAGATAATGTAAATTGTTAAGATAAACTATTATTGGTATCATTTTTTCCTTCAATATCTATTGAGGGAAGAACATTTTAAGTTTTTTAGAGACTCACATGAATAATAATGTGTTCTGTGTGTGTGTGTGTGTGTGTTTTTTAACAGAGGCTAGTATTACCAGCTTGAAACAAGCTGCTCTGGTCAAAGCCCCTCTCATCCCAACTCTGAATACAATTGTGCAGTATCTAGACCTTACCCCAAATCAGGAATACTTATTCGAAAGGATCAAAGGTAACTATTGCTTTGAAGTGGAACAAAATGAGGACTTTTTTACTACTTTGAGAATTTATAAATAAAGGTAACAGGGGAAAAGAATTTTTGTGAAAAAATTAAAATCAGCCCTGACAAGGTAGCTCTGTTGGTTAGAGTGTTGTCCAAATACGCCAAGATTGCAGGTTTGATTCCAGGTCAGGATACATGCAAGGCTCAACAAGTAAATGCATAAGTGAGTGGAACAGCAAATCAATGTTTCTCTCTCCTTCCTCTCTCTCCTGCTCCCTCCCTCCCTCCTTCCTTCCCTTCCTCTCTCTCTCTCAAATCAGTAAATTATTTTTAAAGATTTTATGTATTTATTTTAAGAGAAAAGGGAAGGGAGGGAGAAAGAAAGGGAGAGAAATATCAGTGTATGCTTGCCTCTCATGCACCCCTACTGGGGACCTGGCCCACAACCCAGGCTTGTGCCCTGACTGGGAATCAAACCAGCAACCCTTTGGTTCACAGGCTGGCACTCAAGCCACTGATCCACACCAGCCAGGGCTAAAGTCAGTAAATTTTTTAAAAAGAAAAAATTAAAAATATCATTTCATTTCTGTGGAATGTAAGCATGATCTTATATTTCATAAAAATGTATTTAATTATGTATTTAACTAAGGCTTATACTTGAACAACTTCTGGGTCTTCTATTTTATATGCTTAAGAATTGTCAAAATAATATACTTAGTCTTGAATATGTTAGTTAATAATCTTATTCGATATACAGATACTTAAAAATGAGCTAAATGGGCTCAAGTGAATATTTCACTCCTTTGCTATTCCTTTTTTTCTCTACTTTTATTTTTATTTTTTTATTGTTATTCATGTTGTTACAGTTGTCCCCATTTCCCCCCATTGCTCTCTGTCCTGCCCCATCATTTTCTGTTCTTAAACCACCAAGAATGGGTGCCACTCTGACATTCTTTATAATTTCAGCAGGTTGATTCTTACTACTTTCAATTTTTATGTCATATTTATTATGTTACTCTTTTTTATATTTCTCTTACCTTCTGATCATTTGCAAGGGGGAATGTGATCTAAGGAGGCTGATTTGAGAATCAGAAAATTTAGCCTCCTTGACATTCCCTTGCGCTCTCTTTTTGCCTCTCTTTTTATTTGGATAAACTCTAAAATGTTCTCATCACTAAAACAGGTTTTAGAAATAGTATTTCACTCCTCAGATTCATTCTAAATCTTCCTTTGAAAATATTGTGTATGCTCTTCTTTCCCCTAGGTTTGACTGATGTTCAGGAATAAGCATTTATCATGACTTTTAAAAATCTTTTTATATTAAGGAGAATTCAAATATACATAAAACTAGACACAATAATATGTCCAGCCCTCTTGCACACAGCATCCAGTCCCGGCAACCATTAGTCCTCGGACCACCTCTGCTCTCCACGTCCCCCAGCCACCTCCTCTCTTCCTGTTATTGGAAGCAAATCCTGTGTACCATTGTCACGTTATACCTAGATAGCTCCGTCTATGTCTCTAAAAAAATAAGACCTTTAAAAAACATAACCATAATATTACACCTAATATTTTTTAACAATTTGTTTATATCATGAAATATACAGCCTACGTACAAATTTTCAAACATCTCCTGGAATGTGTGATTACTTTTTTGGTATTGTTTGTTTGAATTAGGATTCAGATATTACCACATGCTGTGATTGGTTGCTCTATTTAAGTTTCTTTTAAGCTATAGGTTTCCCATCTATCCTTTTTTTTTTTTTTTTTTAAAGAGCTGGGTTATTTGTTCTGTAGTGTTTCCCCTGGTATGGTTTTTGCTGAATACATCCCCATGGTACAGCGTTACGTCATTCCTGTTCTTGTACATCCTGAAAATTCAGGTTACAATTTTTTGGCAAGATTGCCTCATAGTAGCAGGATATGTATATATCCAAAAAAAGTATGTATGTGTGTGCACATACATACAAATTATACATAAAGTATTAACATATATCAAATATACAAAAAAGTCTAAAAAGTACAAGGAACCCTAGTTGAATAGTTGCCAACATTTTCCGTATTTGATTCTCTGCCCTCCTTTCTCTCCACCCGCCCCTCCATATACAGGCTCCTGCAGAAGTAACGCCGGCTTGAGTGTGATTGGGAGGGTGCATGAATGTTTTGCACAAGATGTACAGCAATTTGAACATTTCACCTAAAATGTCATATGGTGTGCTCGAGTGTGATATGGTTATGTTACAGAATTACATGCTTATGATTTTGTAATAAAATAGGGGTGTTATTTGTGCCAGATCCTATATGCATACACATGTACCTTTTTTCTCTTTTGAAAGTATATTGTAGACATCATTACTTTTCAGCACACCAATTCCTAAATAAATAAACAACATTCTCCTACATTACCACAATATGATTATCATACCTTAAAAATTAAAAATATTTCTATATTACCTAATATACAGTTCATATTCAGATTTCCCACTTGTCCAAAGAATGTTACATACCTTTTATTTTCTAACTAGGGTAAAGTGTAGGTTCACTCATTACATATATTGAGTTTTTTTCTTTGTTTTTTGTCTCTTTGTCTAGAACAGATCTGCTACCTTGTCCCACATGACATTGACTTTTTTAAGAACCCAAAATATTAGCCTTATATCACATTTTGGATTTATATGATTCTTTCTTCAGGTGATGTTTAAGCCAATCTTTTACATCTTATATTTCTTTGAGTCTTTTGATCAGGTTTTTTAAATGATATGCTTCATTTACTGTAACCCCTTAGGCATTTTTTCCTTCATATTGCATATTCTTAGTTTTATTTCACCTTTTTTGCTACAGAACTTTCCCAAGGAGGCTGTATGAGCTCATTTCGATGGAATAGAGGTGGCGACTTCAAAGGACGCAAGTGGGATACAGACCTGCCCACTGATTCTGCTGTAAGTCTCCAGGTTTATTTGTTTTCAGTTTTCTTATTGGATTTATGTGTTTTCCCCCCATGATCAAAGTATCAAAAAGCATTGAGAAATTAAGGTAGAATTAAAAAATTAAAATTGGCCCTGGCTGACGTGGTGCCGTTGGTTGGAGCATTGTCCCGTGAACCAAAAGGTCTCTGGTTTAATTCCCAGGCAGGACACATACTTAGGTTGCAGGTTTGGTCCCTGATCGGGACACATACAGGAGGCAACTAATTGATGTTTCTCACGTTGATGTTTCTCTCTGTGTGTCTCACACTTGTCTCTCTTTCTCTTTCTCTCGGCCTCGTTCCCTCTTTTTCCCTCGCTCTCCCTCTAAAATCAATAAATGTACCCTTGGGTGAGGATTAAAAAAGTTGTTTTTAATTAAAATTGTACCAACATCTTAACCTAACCACTATTTTGGTTTGGTTTTTTTTTTTTCCTTTACTTATATTGTGCAATTTTTTGTCTTTTTTTAAATCATAGTTGTAATCATTTTGTATCTAAAATTGTATATACTTTTTTTCACTTGTACAGTGTTTACGTAGTTTTTTCATTATTATGCACTGTCATTTAACTATGCTCATATATTGGATCTAAAAGTTTGAGAAATGTTGTAAGGGAAGGGATTTTTGTTTTTTCTGTCTTAAATAATGTTGCAAAGAATATCATGATGCACATTTCTTTATTTGGGATTACTACTTTAAGAAAGATTCCTAGAACTAGATTTATAAGATCAAAGACTATCAAGTTTTGGGGCATTTAAGAGTCTTTCAAAACCAAGTTCTTAATTTTTTATGGTGACTGTTAAGTGTGAAAATGAAGTTTTAAATGCTGATAATTCAAATTGAGAATTGAATAGATGCATATTTTATCTTGATTTTTCTGTTCATTAACTGTATGGGTATGAATGATCCACTAACAGAAAACTAGAAATATCTTTTATCTTTCATTTTACAGATTTCATCTTATAACCACTTAAAAGCATTTTTGCTAATTCTCTCTTTATGGAAAAGTTTTAAAATTAGAGTCATAAACACAGATGTTTTTAAAGGGCTACATCCAAGATAGATTTTCATGCTGACTTTGAAAAATTGTTTCCTCATTTTTAGATCATCATGCATGTGTTTTGCACCTACCTGGATTCCAGATTACCTCCACATCCTAAATACCCCGATGGAAAAACATTTACTTCTCAGCACTTTGTTCAGACACCAAATAAACCAGGTATAAGCCTCTCCTAAAAGAATGCGTTGAGCCTTTCACATGAAATACATCTAGTAGTTTTGTTTGTTTTTTCACATAGCATATTTCCTTTGCAGATGTGACAAATGAGAATGTTTTTTGCATTTATCAAAGTGCTATCAACCCTCCCCATTATGAGCTAATCTACCAGCGTCACGTCTACAATCTTCCAAAGGTACTTCTAAATGTGGAAGCTGCTATTATGTAAGGTCACGGATGACTTGCTTTTATAATATTTTTAAAATTAGAATCTCTCATTTTGGGAATAGGTAAACTTTTTAAATTAGGGAAAATGTGTTTCTTCCATATCTCTTTTTTTATCTATAAAAGTATTATATGCTTAATTTGGAAAAGGCTTTTAAAATACGTATCAACTACTTTGTAAAGAAGGTTATTGTACCAATTTACACTTCTATCCAGGTATTTTACTCTTGATTGCAAACATCAGTTCTTTTGATGACCTTTGCAGTTATTTTTGTTACCAGCATCTTTACTAAGAAATTTTACATTGACTATAAGCATAGAATGTGTTCTCTCTCCGATTCCCAAGAAAAATATTAATTCATTTTTTTCAAGTTTAATATTTGACTATTGTGTAAATACTTTAGGCCATTGAAGTTCCTTTGGATGCCCATGCAAATTTTTTTTTAAGAAACACTTTTAAAAATTATGTATCCTCAGATTCTTCAGTAAAAACACTGAATTGGAGTAGACAGGTACAAGTCAACCAGTGAATTTGAAAATCTAAGTTAAGAGCTGATGTACAGATGAGAAATTACATATAATTGTTTGATTTTAAGGCTAGCAAAATGCTGCCTTACAGTCGCTTGTAGATAAAATAAATTTATGTTTAACATGTTACTTATACTGTTATTAACATATAATTGAAGTATGATCAAAAGTTTTTTAATCCCCACTGTTTCGTTTATGATGTGAATTTTGGGGACATAGCATTTTTTGTGTGCAGTATACAGGGCACCAGCCTCGCAATAGCTCTCTTCCGGGCCTTCGTAGCTACTTCTCCCCATGTGTGGAAACCTCCCAGTCGATTCACTTTCTGGTCATCTTTCAGGTCTCAAATTAAAAATCTTGCCCTCGAGCAGGCATTTGCTGCCTCACCAGCGTGGGTGGCTCAGAGGCCTGTGTATGTTCCCACGGCACCCTCTCCTCTTCACCCCCCATCACTCATCATACTTTTTGTAATTCTGAATTTACTGTCTGCCTTTCTACTAAATTTTAAGCTCCTTGATTACATGGATATCCTCTATGTTATTCACTGCAGTATTTCCATTTCCTAGCACAAAGTAGGCAGCGCATTTAATGAATGAATGAAAATCTGAATTACACGGAATTCTGAGTTTGTAGAATGTGTATTGATAAGATCTGCATTTACCTATCAGACTGAATCTTTTGCTCAGTTTGGTTTAAATCTTGCTTTTTTTTTTGTCTTTGTTCCAGGGCCGAAATAATATGTTTCATACGTTATTAATGTTCCTCTATATCATAAAGACCAAAGAGTCAGGAATGCTTGGGTAGGTATTTATCCTTTAAAAACCCAAGTACTTTATTTATTGGTTGGTTTGTTTCCTTTATTAAGATCGTGTACGCATTTCAAGTGGCTGGCTGTGGGAAGTGGGCCTGAGTGAAACAGGGAACTGCTTATTTCTATCATAAAATTTTAACACTGCATGATTTTTTAAAATTGTAAGTATGTATTTATTTTGATAAAAAATTAAAAATACATATTATAAAAAGCCCTTCAAAAATGGTAATTTCTATCTATCATGTTTTCTTATTTCCTCATGCCCTCACCAACACTGCAAATGATAAATCTCAATTTGATAGAAAAATGTTTTAATTTGGCCTTGTTTGTATATGAGGCTAAGCTTCTTTTCATATTTATTGACCATTTGTATGACACTCTTCTGGGAAAAAGTCGTGTGTGTGTGTTTTAAGATTTTATATATTTGTTTTTAGAGAGAGGGAAGGGAAAGAGAAAGAGAGGGAGAGAAACATGGAACACTTGCCTCTCGCATGCACCCAGTTGGGCACCTGGCCTACAACCCAGCCATGTGTCCCTAACCGGAATCAAAGCGGTGACCTTTTGGTTTGCATGCTGGCACTCAGTCCACTGAGCCACACCAGCCAGGGCTCTTCTGTGTTTTTGACCATTTTCTATATTTTTCTTTTCTAATTAACCGACATACTCGCTTTAAATGTGATGAGTATTAACTTGGATTTGCTCTCTTGGGCAAGTCCATTAATGTGTCAGAACCTCCATTTCCCTTTTGGAGAAAAGGCAATTGGACCATATCATTGGCCCTACAAATGTGTCCCCCAGAAGAACTGTTCTAAAACCTGTATCAGGGCCTTGCCCCTTTGAAAACAAAACCAAACTGGAGCCTAATTGTATTCAAGCCATGCCATTTCAGACCCACAGTGTTCTGCAATGGTTATTCTTCCAGAGAGACTGAGTCAGCTCCCATTCAATAATATTGTTAACTGGGATGGAAAAATTGAAGTTGTTTACTTTGTTCTTTCTAAATCCTTAGTAATAAAGCATATGGACTGTTATAAAAAATTCAAAATTGCTCTCATTATTTTGGTGATTCAGAATTTTAGTGTATCAGATAATAATTAAAGTAAGTGGACCCCAGCTAAAGCTGGGGAAGTCTGGTACTGCAAGGTCAGGGAGTATGCAGTCCTGGCTTCTGGGTCCAGCTCCACCCTCACTAAGTAAGCTAACGCTCCGAAGATGTACAGGGAAGGGCTTGGAGCCGAAAACAGCCGGGGTCCATTCCAGTTCTGATGTGCATGCCTCTTCAGTTTTGCTTAGACATCTTGTCTTGTGCATGCTCTAGAACTGCATTATACAGCGACCACCAGCCACAGGGGGCGTTGAGCATTTGAAACATGACTCGTCCAAATTAAGATGAGCTGTAAGTGTAAAACACGTAGACTAGATATCAAAGATCTAGTACCCCAAAAAAGTAAAATATCACATTAATAAGTTTGTATATTGATTACATGTTGAAATAATTTGTTGGATATATTGGGTTAAATGAAATACATAATTAAAATTAATTTCACCTGTTTATTTTTACCTGTTTAAAAAACTTTTTAAGGTGTTTATTAAAAAATGTAAAATTATGTGTGTGGTTTGCGTTGTGACTCATATCACATTGTATTTCTTTTGGATGGCACTGCTCTAGAGAAAGCCAAGCTCCTGTTGAACATAGTAGATGCAAAGATTTAAAAAGACATAAACAAGTTTATAAACATATAAATGTTTATCAGCTTCTTTTATCTCATATTTTAATGTAAAATAAATAATTAATTCACTTTTGTGAGACATCTAAACTCATGGTATTTTTTTTAATTGTAAAAATAAGGCATGCTCAATTTAGAAATGTTTAAACAATACAGCTGTGTCTAAACTTAGAACTTGAAATTTCCCCTCTGATCGGCTTTTCTCACCCTTCTTCCCTCTGGGGGTGCCAAGTGTTAACAGTTTCATGTGTGTATTTCCAGACTTCTTTCTGGGAGTAAGTCAGCTTTGGGTTTGTTTTTCATTTGTTTAAAAATACATTGGACCTTGCTTTTTAACTTGATGGTGTATCTTTGACATCCTTCTATGTCAGTAAATACAGATTTTTTTTTTCTAAAATTTCTAGCAGTATTTAGTTATAAAGCATATGCATACATATATATTTGAAGAATTACGTGTTTGTAATTCTCACTTAACAAAATTTCTGGAAGGTTACTTTGAAGTGAAGAATTAGTTTAGAAATATTTTAAATAATGAATTTTTAGTTTTTAGTTTTAATTAAAAATGTATCTTTTCCTCTAGATCCAAATTGACATTTTGATGCATAATTGATCTGCCATAATACAATAGCGTGAAGTGTGTGCTGAGTGCCATGTACAATTCGTCGTGTGCATAAAAATGTAAAAATTTTAATAACAGTACTCAGTGGAAGTTATTCACTCAGAGGCCAAAAAAACCAAAACAATTGATACAATTTTTGAAGTGCTTACCTCTCTAAATGTTCAACTTACAATGAAACTTTTTTGACTAAGACTACTTTGTATTTTATTTACTTGGGGTTTTTTAACCAAGGGGGAAAAACTTTGAAATTAACTTTAAGAATATGATTGGTTAATCTTTTTAATATATTCTAATATAACCAAATGGTTAAAAACTACTATCCTGTATCTTAAAGGAAATAGTGAGTGGCTCAAATATAGTCAATTTGGAATCATGCCCACAAGTCAGCAGATTGATCCAAAAACATTCTCAATTTAATGCCACATATTTGTGCCATTACTGGAATGAGATGAATGTTTTATGTCCAAAAGGGAGAGAAATCTAGACAGAACTGACCACCCAGTAATTTAAGTGTTCTGTTCAGTGAAAGACACCATAAATAAAGTTTAAAGCTAAATGATAAACTGAGACAAAACATTATAATTGCAACACATACAGCAAATCCAAGGTAATACTTATCACATATAAAGAGCAGATATAAGTTAATTAAAAAAGAAAAATATAGAAAATGATCAAAGACGTGAAAGATTTTTTCATAGAAAATGTCAGGCAGATGGTTAGTAAACATGAAAAGATGCTTAGCCTTGTATACCAACAGGCCCAAATTAAAACATTTTTCTATCAAATTGCAGTTTATTATTTGCAGCGTTAGTGAGGGTATGAAGAAATAGGGAAACATGGTTATATGTTTTTTTATTTTTTTATCAAAATAGGTACGTACTGATAATTTTTAAAGTCACATAATGCTCCAAGGTTATAACAGAAATATGAGGTTCCCTGTATTGCCCCAGTCCACTTCCCAAAGTTGACCACTTGAAACTCCTGCAGCTTTTCCTTGGCATTGCTCCTGTGGTTCCAGACAACAGGCCCGCAGCCCTCTCTTGATTCTTCAGTGTTGGACATAGTGGGTTGATTTCTTTCTCCATTAGATAGGTAATTTATCTCTCTTAGAGCCCTCCTCACCTCCCCTCATACTTTGAATACAATTGTATTACTCTCCACAGTAGAGGTCAATTTAGAATAAATAAATTCAGATTGTAAGCACAGTTAAGAAAGTAATTACTGTTACTAGAATTCACCCGATAAGCTATATATGTGTACCATACCTTATTACAGAATGATGTTAAATATTATCAATTAAACATGTACTCCTTGTTTTAGTTATTTGTGAAAAGACCTTCAGTGCTTGGCAATCAATTCCACTGAAACTTTTTCTTTTTTCCTTTATAGGAGAGTTAATCTTGGTCTATCCGGTGTGAATATTTTGTGGATTTTTGGCGAGTAGTGGACCATTTAATTCCAAACATTCGGACTTTTATCTTACTGAATCAGAAGTTGAACCAAAGCACCTCTGAGTCTCCGCCTCTTGTTTTATGACACATTGTGTGTGTGTTACAGACTAGATTTAACAAAAAATTACCTATTTTAAAACTTCCTTGTGAAAGTGTGTCCTGTATCTTCTATATCAAGAGACATTACCCACATTTCAGGTTTTTCCGTTGCTTACAAAACTGTAACTTTTCGGATTGTTGTTGACCCAAAACAGTGTAATTGCCCCTTAATTCAATAAACATGAGTCCTTTTTCATTTTAACTTCCAAATAAGAATCATCTGATTCTTCCCCACAAAAATTGATTTTTCAATTACATTATTTAGTATAAATATACAAAAAACAAGCAAATTGCTAACTTTTTTTAATTTTTTAATCTCTTTCTTTCCCCAATGTTTGGCAAATCAGCCCAGGCCCCGTATTTAAAAAATGAGATCAACTTCTAAGTAATGTGTTAATTCACATGTATTTTTAAAATATAATTGAAAAAAGTTTGACAGTATTGTGTTTAAAAAGTCAACTCTGGTATTAAATTTAGCTGACAGAGTTAACTCTTTGGGTCTTAGTTAAGAAGCTGAGGACATCAAGAAAACTACTACTTTGGTTTCCATAACAAGTCAGATGGGTGAAATTTTCTAAGAGGCATTTCTATATCCTCCATTTTAAAAAATTGGATTCCATAATATTGTACGATTTTAAGAGTTCCCTTTAAGATCATATGATTTCTTACATTTAAATTTTTTAGGTGTGTTTTAAATATCTGGAGAGTAAGAAGTTACTAGGTTTGTAAGTTTTGCTTGACTCTCCATCTTTATTTTCTTATGTGTGTATGTGACATCTCCAAGGCCAGCCAGCAATTGCATGTGTTTTCTGGACTGATACACTTGACTGCTCCCGTCACCTGGAAATACCTAAAGCCAGTACGTTCTGAGTAACCGCATGTCAGTACTACCTGTGCAGCCCATTTTGTGTAATTTTGTAAATTCTCTTTTTCAAAAAGTTGTTTCTGTTTTTTAAAAGTCCTGTGTCCACAGGAAAGGATGTTTCTATCTTTTAACAGCTTTTGATGTATGTTGCTATGTTTGCTATGATATTTTAGAAGAAAATATCAAACATGTTAAATATAAGGACATGTTGAGATCTCAGTCTGTTATTTCAATAGTTGGTAAAGGTGTCCTAGAAAAACAGTTTCTTTGCTGCTAGGCTATTCAGATGCATATTCTCTATTAAAAGCAACTATGAGAGAAATGTTAGCAATACATTAAAAAGTATAGGACTTAAGGCAGCTTTTAGTCCAAAAACTTAAAACTAGACTCTTATTTTTTAAGTGAATGTCAAAAATGCAATATACTGTAAATAACCATATAAAAAGACTAGGCATAAAAAAGAAGATGTACTCTGTTTGCATGCTAAGTTTAGTGGGTAGCTTTCCTATGTAACTTTTCATAAATGTTTGAGCCAGCTTATACTTTAATACAGCCTTTATTAAAAATTCACATTTCAGGAAGACAGTGCATGGAAAATGCGGTAAACTTTTTGGTCCTGTATTAAAATGAGTAGATATCTACTTTTCTCTAATTAAATGTTATTTATACGATATTTTTCATAACGTTTTTATTGCTTGACTCATCCTTGTGGGCTCAAATCCACTAATCTTCTAGATTATGTTCACTGTATCATTTATTCTTTTTTCTATGAATACCAGCCTTGAATTCAGCCAAATTTATTTTAGGGGCATAGTTAGGTGTTTATAATTTAGTTCCTATCGAGACATGAAACTGATGCATACTTTAAACTGTTACTTTAATGATGAAGACTGGCAGCATGTGGATGGCACTTCTAAACTCAGCTTTGTAGTATAAATTCTTTAAACGTGGGCATTCCTCAAAGGTCAGCCTTTGTCATGTGTTTCACTGTATTATGTATGCTTTTCTTTAGAGATCTCGTTCATTCCACGACTTCATTTATCACTTCTGTGCACTTGATTCTCAAGTTCATCGCCAACCAATACATCTCTCCTGAGCTCTAGTGTTACATTTCCTGTGACCTGTCAGGCATTTCCACTTAGATACCCACAGACTCTCTGTATCTGGAACAGGATGCATGTCTGCCAAAACCAGCTCCCTCTTCTGACATCCCTGTTTCTCTGCATTGTATTAGCAGTTGCCCATGCTCAAAATGCTGGTGTCATCTTTGATTCCTTGAGCTCCCTGGGTCCCCAATCCAATCAGGCAGCAGACCTCATCCATTCTTTCTTAACAGTGTTTCTTGCAGCTGTCCCTCTCCATTCCTGCTGCCACTGTGCTCATTTACACCCTTATCAACTCACACAGGACTGTTGCAACGGCCTAATTAATCTCACAGCTTCCGAACTGCTGCCATGCTTCCAGATTTTCCAATTCATCCTGCACATTCTCTTCAAATTCATCTCCCTAAAACACCTGTTTGATCATTTCGTTCCCCTGATAAATTCCTTAGCCTGACATTTAAAGCCCTCCACAATCTGGCCCCAAGCTAGCCTCATCCACCCCGACCCTTGGCTCCAGCCGGTGCCGGCTGCTCCTTGCGGGGCTCCCTGCGTGCCGCCTCCTGGTCATCCTGATCGCTCTCTGGGGATGCCCCGACCCCCTCCGCAGTCCACTCCTGCCTTGAGACTTCACTCTAATTAAACCTGCTACTTTCTGGAGCTGGTCCTGACTGCTCCAGCTGGCAGTCATTTCTCCCCTGGGGTGATCTGTGCCCCTTGTTTGGCACTCAGCAGTCATATGAATGGACTCAGAAGTGGCTTCAGGTCTCTCTTAACAGTATGTCCTGTATCTTGCCTCATCCTCATAAAATAATTGAGGTTTTTTACTAGTTCAAGCTGTCCTGCTGTTGAAGCCTTGATGAAGCCTTCAGGCTTATTTTTTGAGGAGGGCTTGCATTCTCCTCTGGCTTCCCCTTGGTGGCAAAGCTGAGGAGGCGGTAGCATCCCCAGGACTGGATGGCTGCAGCAGAGGGACTGCCTGAAAATGGAAAGTCAAGGCCTTAGGGAAATCACACAGCCCATTCCATGTACCCTCAGGGGTCTTCCATAGTGAGCTGCGCTGGGGCCGTCGCACTTGGCAGCACATTGTCCCAAATGCTACAGGGTCCACTGTGAGAGACGGGAGAAGCTATTGGTTCACCCATCTGTCCGGGTGGCTTCTATCCCAGCCATCCCTACACGGTGTGTGAGGATAGGCAGCAGAGGGCTGAGCCATCTGGCAAGAAGGCTGCTGGGAAAGATCTGTGTGGGAACTTGTCTGCACACTTAGAGTGAGAGGGCTCTGCACAGTCAGCATCTTGGCCCCAGTGACATTGCCGCGTCTCGCACAGGGTATGCCGGTGGCTTTCTGCCAAGTCTGCAGGATTATTAGGCACAGCTCTGAGCCACCCTCTAATTTGATCCCTGGATGGCCATCCATAACTTTGTTTCCACAGCGAATGAACTACACTGACCCCGGGGGCAGGTTAAGGATTCTGCGGGGAAGGCACCTCAGCTGGGATCAGGAAGAGTCCGATACAGACAGGTAGGCGTGGAGAACAGCTTAGTGTGCCTTCGGAACCCTGACCACCTAGGACAGCAGTGACTTCAAAGATACTTCATATCAAAGCCACACCCAGGCACTGCTATGGGTGGATTTAAAGCTCTAAGTAAATTTTTCCATGTACCCAAAATAAAACGGATATTCCCAAAGTCTGTCTAACTAGAAGAGCCAGTAGCCTAAATGGGCTGTAATTGGGAGGATTGAGCTTTGTCACTGATTGGGGCAGGGCAATTACTTTTTATACTGTGATTTCTGATTAAGATAAATATACTCTATACCAAAGATCATTGAGAAGCTTAAAGTGAGAATATTGGATGACAGTGCTTTGGGGTAGTGAAAAAAAATGGCTATAAAAAGTCCTTCAAAATTATGTATTAGTGTAAATCTAGGAAACGCTCCCTTTGGCATTGGGAAACGACTGTCTCATGGCCTTGACACACTCACATCTACCCCAGCCATCCTAGCCCAGCTGTATCGGCCGCTTCCTCCCTCCGTCCCTCCCCAACCCCAGACCTGGCCGCTGCCCAGTCATAAACAGTACCGTCCTTGTAGCCCGGAGGCTGGGCTTTCTGGTCGACCAAGAAAACATATTCTCCTTCCTTTCCCATTTCTAAACTAGAGGGAAAAAATAACAACCCTGAATCAGACTCTGCTTTCATGAACTGCGACCCATAGGAGGAAAGTCAGAAGGTGGTGATCTGCTCTGTTGGGGGCAAAACTTGTTTTTTCAGGAGCAGCAGCCAGGCATGGTTCTTCCTCAACACATGGTGCGGAAACTGGAATCAGGCAGCTCTGTGATAGTTTTGGCCCAGGATACAGGCATTAGCTTACTGAGCTCCAACTGCAAAGAAAGGCCCTTGTGTTCCTAATGGGGAGGGGTATCATCCACTGGACGGCCTGAGGGGCAGAGGAGACCAGCTAACTCGAGAAGGTGAGACTTAGCAGAAAGAAGTCTGAACCACAGCCACCAGCCCCTAAACCTGGTGGTTTGAGAAAGTTGTACAAGCGTGGCTTCCATCTCAAGTTTGTTAACCACGCTTAAAAATAGAGTACAATGCTTCACTTCTAGTTAAATATTCTGCTCCAATTCTTTACAGTCTTTTTCATGCCATCTTGAAAATTCCTGGAGTTAAATACCTTCATGCGGTGGTTGGACCCCACTTAAACCAAGTGCCTTGGACAGAACTTGGAGGCAAAGTCCATATCCCCGGAATAGTGTCTCTTAAATTAGACACTAGATATTTCCTGTAGTCAAAGCAATTATATATCCTTTAAGCTACTGTATCACTCTGAGTAAGGTGGCACATTTTCCCACCTCACAACTCTGTTTCCCCACGCATGCCCCGCTCCCCATACACCCACCCTCAGTAATGTCGGTGAGACAAGGACCTGTGGCTGTTGCTGGCTTGCCCTCCCTGACCATCTCCTGGCGGGTGCAGCAGTGGGGCAACGCTAGAACAAATACCCGAGGAGAACCGCAGCCCTCTCAGATGGCTGGGCACCTGTGAGCGGTGGCCGTTTCTATTAGACTGCAGCTTCCTTGAGGGCAGGTGTGTATTAGGCGCTCACTCAATATTTGTTGAATTACTAATTGGGTTAAGTACACAGAATTCACTTGAGAAGGATTGGAATTTTCAGTGAGTGTGTTTCCCGTGCTGAAGACCGTGGAGAGCTCTCTGGCTGGTAAATGGCAGAGAAGAGAAGCAAGGAGTTGGCAACTGGCAGTTGGAGCTAAACTCACAGAAGGACAGGCCAAGGGGCCCACTCTGCATTTCCATGAGTCTCTCTTTGCTGGGCTCCCAAGCCCTCACAGCTGGAGCTAAACTGGGGTGAACGCAAGGGCTGAGGGCTCTGATCTGGTCACAGGACACTATTATCCTGTTCTCCAAAACCCTCGCATTTTCTCCATCTGTGTATCTAACTGGACTACAAAGTGTATTTCCTGAGCTGCTTCGCTGGACTCTGCTTTCTCTGATGTGGAGATCAAGGCAGCCCTAATCTGGCCCATGGCCACAGCCCATGCCTCCTGGCCGGGGCGGTCTCAAACGCATACCCGGGTTGTGTATACTTTGAACAAACGTGCAAACGTACAAGCACTTGCCAAGTGCCTGCCCAGAACGGTGATGCGTCCCCTCCAGTTGCTCACTGTTCAGAAGTGGAGGTGAGTTGTGGAGCGTGTGGGGTAAGTGCCCACAAAGAGACCAAGCTCCAGCGCCCATGAGGTTCTGGTGAGCCTGCCGCCCCGCCTCCACTGCTGGTGGCACTGCCAATTGGGGCAGCCCTTTAGGAACACAAACAACATAGCACTATGCATAACTAACTACCCAGAACAATGATGACCCCTTAGTCTCTCTCTTCATGGGTCAGGAATTCAGATAGGGCGCGTTGGGGGTGGCCCTCTTCTGCCCCACGATGTCCGGGGCTGGAAGAGTGAGTCAGCTTAAGGCTTGTTCATTCTCATGTCCGGAGACCGACACCGACTGGGGACCTAACGGGATGTGCACAGAGCCACCACATGTGGCCTGGGCCTCCTCATAACATGGTGGCTGCATTCCAAGGGCAACTACCTTGAGAAAGAGGAGGAGGTGGGACAGAAGCATATTACCTCTCTAATCAAGACCTGAAAGCTTTGTGTTTCTCCCACCGCGTTCTGTTGACCCAAGCAGCTACAAAGAACTGACCAATTTCAAAGGGAGGAACATAGGCCCCATCTCTCAATGGAGGGATGTGTCACATCACAGCCTGTGAGATGGGATATACTGATGTGGCCATTTTTGAAAAAGTACAATCTGCCACAATGTGCAATGGCCCGCAGCGCCCCCCGAACACTGTCATCCTTTGGGTGATCGCACCCAGGAAACTATATCCTAGGAAAATAACCAACAGGAAAAAAAGTGATGCCTAACGATGCTCATTGTTTGCATTTTGTCATTTACTTATCTACTCATCCAATAAATATTTGCTGAAGTAGTCTGCTGGGTG